CAACTCAGACATGCAGCCACTCACTCACTTCCCCTTCCCCCTTTCTCCCTTCTGCTCCCGAAGGGATGGGGAGCAGAATCGAAATAATGTAACTCCCACGGTTTGAGATAAGAACAGTCCGGTAATTAAGGTATAACACTAACCGCTACTGCTACCACCAATAATAATGATGATAAGGGAAGACAATACAACTGCTCACCACCTGCCGACCGATGCCCAGCCTGACCTGAGCAGTGATCTAACCCTTCCGGGTAACTGCCCCCGGTTTATATACTGGGCATGACGTGCTGTGGTATGGAATTACCCCTTTGGCTAGTTTGGGTCAGGTGTCCTGTCTCTGCTTCCTCCTGGCTTCCCCTCCTCCCTGGCAGAGCATGAGACTCAGAAAGTCCTTGGTCGGAGTAAACATTACTGAGCAGCAAATAAAAACATCAGTGTTATCAGTACTGTTCCCAGGCTGAAAGTAAAAAACACAGCACTGCACCAGCTACTAAGAAAGAGAAAAATGACTGCTACTGCTGAATCCAGGACAGTAATACATGCCTTTTCTTGCTGAATATGAAGTCTGTGCATTCATAGCTGACTTGAATGACTTTCATCTTTTCCTGCTATCTAAAAGCCCCAGCTTTGTACAGAGTAGTCACTGTAGTCTATGTTGTAGCTTTTGGACTGGATCCATCATGTGCAATATTTCCATCTAGTCTATAGTTTTGTTTTCTGGAGGAGGAAAACCAACTGTTTTAGTAGTGGGTGCTTTCTACAGATGGAAAATATTCTGCAGGGGACAGCTGGGCAGAGCAATGGCTGCAGCTGTGTCTGGATGCATCTAGGGGTGCCACTTCCCGCTGCTGCAAAGATAGCCTGACATCATCCTTACCCTGTATGTGGCTGGTAGGAGCATCAGATGAGCTCTCTGTGGTGAATTAAAACGGTGCTCTTACTGCTGAAAGAGGAGAAAAGGATGTTGCTTTGTGACTCAGTGTAGACCACCTGCTGTGTGCATTGTATGGAGAAAAACGATAAACAGAATAGATATTAGGTTGCTGCATGTAAATTGGATGACGTGGGCATGGAAAACATCAATAATCCAAACATCTTGTCTTTTTAAGGCTGTGAAGATGATCCAGCTGCAATGCTCAAGTATGTTCTTAACACTGTTTGAAAAGTTGAAGTGGGAAGTTTTAAGACATGGAGACGTAGCAACTTTCTTAACACAGTTAATGGAAAAATATTAAGGGAAACAAATGAGGCAGTGTGGACAGGTCTTGGGAGGTTAAGAGGGAAGGTAGTGGAGGGCTGGCAAAATTGCAGCGATGTCTACTTTGTAGACATTGTTCCTTTAGGAAGCAGATCAACCCTGGATGGTTCTGTTTATTTTTGATAGTGTGCTTTCTTGTGTGTTTTGTGGCTATGCAGTGGTTTGGAGGAGGAAGAACTCATAATTTGGTTTATGGATCAGATAACCTTCATTTGGAACTCACCTCCTGGTCTAGTTCACTACAGCAAAGAGTATGTTGTTTGTGTTGGGGATCAGTACTTCCTCAGGTACTGCTGGTTAAATTAGAACCTGCGTCTCCATAATATCATGATTAGTAGTGGAATGGATGTGTTAAGACTAGGAATGAGTCTGTGTTGGCAGTGTTGCAGAAGACTTACTTGTCAGACAACAGCTTTGATTTCTTAATTTAATATCCATGAAAAAAGAAGTACAGATCAAGCTGATTCAACAGTTGGAAGCACTGCTTCCCTAAGAGTGATGTGTGTATAGGTGTTACAATGTCAATTTGTTTTTTCATAGGCACACAAATTTTTTTGTGCATGAGTGCTAGATTAAAGGTACTTGAAACCTTTAAAATGGAGAGATATTCAGTGGTCTGTTTCTTGGCATTTCATTTAGGTCAGGGCACTGAAAAAACACCTGCTACCATTCTTGACTGCAGTCTTTCTGAGAACTGGGGGGCTTAAAGGATTCTGGTGAATATCCTTAAATGTTTACAGTAATGCATCTTCATTTTGTTATGAGCATAGCAAGATACATTTCTCTTGTTTTCAATATTCTACATAGAAACAGTATTCCATAGGTTACTGAAACTACTGTAGAAATGCTATTGGTTTGATTAGGGCCAAATTAGTTTTTTTGATCTTTCACTAGAGATTTTAGGTAGGTGTGGATATTGAAATAACTTTTTGCCTGCCTTAAAATCAGGTATGACTGGTACTTTTGTGTTCTGAAAATCTGAGTATCAGATCTTAGTCTGATGAGGGTTATTGTTTGAATTGAATTTACTGATAACTTGAAATCATTGTTATTTTAGAAATCCCTTTAGTTACATAGTTACTAGTTATTACATACTTGGTTATTAGTGTACCATTGGTTATCTAAATCTGTTTTTAGGTTTGAGCATGGCAGCAGTTGTAAGCAACATAATTTGATGTCCATTGGGACTGTACATGAGAAACTTGTTGTATAGGAGCATATGGTAAGGTACCACCTCTGGAAATCTACGTTCTCAATTAGAAGTACGATTTCTTGCAAAACACAACTTACCATTTCAAGTTAAATTTATTATTTCATCTCCACAGGGTAACTTCAGATTTGCTGTAAGTATTCCAAGCTGCTTTTCCAAATTGTTTTGTGAGACCCAAGTTTTTATTGCTTGAAAATTTTTAGGGTGAATTTAGTTGTTTTAAAATGCTGTCATTAATTTGTTGTTGTGAAATGGCTTGACAACAGTAGTTCAGATATCTTCAATTTGAAAATTCAACACATTCTGCATCTTTCAGTACACAGAGAGAAAGTTCAGACTTTAATTATGTTGCGCCAAGCATGAGTTTACTTCAGAGAATTTTGGGCTCCATATAAAGGCATGCAGAGCAAATGATAGTTGTTCAGGTTATCAGCCAAATACACAAACTAGACCTCTCAATCAAGAGGGGTTTTGTGCTAATAACACTTCCAAATGTCTTTATATTATTGTTGTTTTATGAGATTTTTTAATGTGTTTGAGGATCGAGAAGCCAATTCCTTGTTGGTTTGAACTGGTGTGAATGGGGTGACTTGAATTTAGCTATTAGTTTACATCAAAGGACGAGCTCTGAACACATAGTCCTATTTGTATTTCTTTAAGCAGTAGGATCATAGCAGAGGCTCATAATTTCTAAAATGGTAAATTGTTTTCCTTTTGTTCTCAAACACTTTGGACTACTAATGAAAAAATACTGTTTGCTGGCTATTCTGGATATACAGTGTGTTAATGTAAATCAGTTTCTGCTTCTATAAATAGACTTTGTCAGCTGCTGCAGAGGAAAACTGACAAGCTTCTGTTCATTTTTATTATTGCCATTCAGAAATTGTTTGAATAGCTGTGAAACTGTCCAGTAGTGTGTATGCCTGCTGCAGTGATATTTGCAGACTGAGCTGGGGCTATGAGTAGGGACAGGGAAAGAATGAATGCATTTATAAATGCATTTAGAAGTGTGAGAGTAGAGGCAACAGCTTTGTATTCCTTCATTTGGGAGTCCTTAGGCCGAGTTTGAAGCTCTTTATGTAAAGACATGCCATTCAGCTGGCTAAAAGTCATGAGTTGTTAAATGGGGTCTGGGGATAGTATTTATCTAACTTCTTTACTGCTGGATATAAGGTAGCCTTTACAAGCATGGTCTGTTGGGGATTATCATACTCTGCCCTGAGAAGCAGTCTCTTAAAATTTTTGTTTCCTTCTGCTGCTGGGTCTGGTTTTGTCTGCGGTATGGGAAGGAAACAGCCAGGCAGGAATGCTTCCCATCTACAGCATTCCTTCCCTCCCGCACAATCGTGGGAGCTCTCGTATGGCTGAACAGCAGCTGCTGTCTTCCTTTCTCGAAGCAGACTAGGAAGTGGTACTAGTATGGCCTGTAAGAAGAAGGAATCCGAACAGGCCAACCAGATTACCAGTGTTGTTTGTGGGCACAGGAGAGGTTGCCAGGAAAGAAAAAGTATTGAATATCATATTTATTGAATAGCATTTAATTGTCCAGTGTCTGTGTTTACATGTGTGGTTGTTAGTTGTTTTTTGGGTGACTTCCACCCCCATCCTTGAAGAGTCTTACTACAGGGTCTTGGGAAATAGCCACCTAAAAGTGAAATTTCATGTATTCCAAAGCTTTGGAAATGTAAAAGTTTCTTAGCATCTTAATCATATGTTGTATCCATGCTGTAATTTGTATTCTTTGTACTGAATTAGATCTTAGTGATGTGAACTTCTACTCAAGGGAGAAGCACAGAACCCTGACAACTCTTAATGTATTATCTGTAATGTTGTTTGAAATGTATTTGTGTTTTTAAACTTCTGCTGGGTGTCTTCTGGCTTGATAACTTTAATATTTTTAGGTGCTCTGCTACTAGAAAAATGAATCGTATTAATTCTTTATAGAAGAAAATACAATGTGAAGAAGCACATCTTTAAAAAGAAAACAGACTTGTTCTCCTTGAAAACTGTTCCTCTCAAATTTTATTCACCTACCATTTTAAGGGAGTAATTGTAGTTCATTCACTGTGAGCAACCATTTGTGGCGATAATGAAGTCTAAATAATTGGAAAAGATGAGGAATATGGTATTTGGCAGATCCGTAGAGGCTGTTACGAGATCTAATTGAAGTACAAAGTTTAGAAGAACTAAGCAGTTCTAAAAAATACAGAGCTTAAAAGAACTAAATTATAGGTATCTCTGAACGCTTTTAAAGTTTATTGCTAAAATACAGTATAAAATTGCACTTTGATGAAAAGATGAGTGTATTGTATCACACTATATTTGAGCTTGTATAAAATACAGAAACTCTTAATACAAATATCTTAATACAAAGTATCTTTTGTGGCATGAATGGAAAGGAGGAAAAATTGTAACTTTGATGTAGAATTAGTTTGACTTGTATAAGTCTTTGTTCTTTTAAAGACAGAGAAAAGGGATTCATTCAAAAAATCTTTGTGTGAGAGACTTTAAACCTTTTATTTCTGCTTTTAGTCAGCAGATAAGCAGCGAGCCCTGGAAGAAACCAAAGCCTACACAACCCAGTCTTTAGCAAGCGTAGCCTACCTGATCAACACTTTGGCCAACAATGTTCTCCAGATGCTGGATATCCAGGCATCCCAACTTCGACGCATGGAATCTTCAATCAACCATATTTCACAAGTGAGACTTTTTTCCTGATTCCGCTTCTTTGTTATTGAAATTACATAGCAAGTAAAACTCACCTGACATTTTGTGAATGAGGAAGATAATCACATTTAAAACAGAAGGATGCATTTTTTATTATATTAATTCTGGGAATGGGTCTCATTATGTGATTATATATATGTGTTAGTGTGAAAATTTTACATAGGATAAGAGGTTAAGTATATTCTTGGCCAACGTATTGTTTGGAGGGGGGCCATTCTGCATAAGTGAAAAGCGCATTAAAATAGCTAATGTGAAAAATAAGAATATTATGTTAAGGGATTGATTAAGCTTTCCAGCTCCTGTTTGGTGACTTACTGTACTTGGTATTTATTGGCTACAGGCACTTACAATTGAAAGGAATATGAATGCGGTGGTGAAAAACAATACTTGTCATCTTTTAACTTTTCCTGTTTCTGTAGTACTGGCATCTAATGACAAAAACATAGATGACAAAAGCAGTTTGCTCCTGGCTTTTCTAAATAAAATGTACTTTGCAATGACATGAACAGAAGGCAAAACTAATGTTTCAAATTTGTGTATGGTTGCAGAACTCATGCCTTTGTTGGCTGTTTCAGGGCAATATAAATTGATGGATTAAAAGAGAAATTAAGAGCAAATGATCCAGTAGTTTCTGTTTTTCTGTTACTGGAGAGTTGGTTGGCATCCTTACTGAATGTTTTGTATCTTATTTGGCCAACACATTTTAGCTGCTAGAGTTTCTTGATCTCTATGTGATAATGTCATCAATTAAGAATATTGTGGTATTTGGAAAGGCATTTGAAAGTAGTAGCTGTGTAAGGTAGGAAATAAAGAAATTGAGCTGATATATTAATTTGCTGGTGCCTAAAGGTTTGCCAAACTAGTAGAGGTTTGAATCAGCAAAAGAAGTGAATAATTTTATGCTGGGCTGTAGTAGTACCCTGTTAGATTGCCTCAGTTATCTCATGCAGTTTCATCCTTAAAAAGTAAGCTGAGAAGTTTGATTTCTTCTGCTACATGCTTCTTTTTAATCCATAGACAAGTCAATTAGTTTTTTCTTTTTCCTCAGAAAATGTCACAAATTACTCTCTGTGTGTATATGTATATGTGCTATATATATATGCTGTGTATGTGTGCATATAACTCTGTGTGTGTATATATGCTATATGTGTATGTGTTTCTTGAGAGAATAGTGACAGCTGACAAGTATTTCAGCTCTTTGAGAGCGTGATGCAAAAGACAGTACATGAGTAAAAATATTCGGTATTGTCTGGATTTCGCATTTTATAGATGTGGAAAGTTCATTTTGTCACACAGAGTCTGTAAAATAGCTTTGCAAAAAAGTCACAGCACTTTAGTTTTATTCTGAGAAGCTGAGATTTATGCAGCTTGAGATGCTGGTTAGATTGTCTTTTGCATTTATATAAATGGCTAGTTAGTTAAAATTGAGAACTGCATTACAATCACCCAACATCTAATGAAGATGTATCTGCCAAAATTCATAGGCTGTAGTTGCATAACAACAAAAAAAGTAGTAGGTGTTTTGTTTTGTTTTTTTGTTGTGGTTTTGGTTTTTTTTTTAATTAATATCACTGTAAAATTGAAAATTAGGTTAGTTTTGATTTGGGTTTGTGTGTTGTTTTTTTTTTTTTGGGGGGGGGTGTCTACATTATCCATATATAGGATGCTCCCCAAATCTTCAAAGAAGAAATTGTATCAGAGGAGCAGACAGTATTGAACTTTGGATATTACAATACATAGAGTGTGTTGATCAAAGAAGCTTTGTTAAGTTGAATTTAATATGTTCAGAAATGGCTTCATCCCATGATACCGATGTTGTATTAGCTGTCTTTAATTTCTTTTAATTTATTTTGTCATAGTTTCTATGTAATAAATAATACATTTTCAGGAAATTTAGTTATACTTCTTCTGGAACAAGCTTAACCTGTGCAAGACTTCCTTGGTCGTTTTTATGTTGGGTGTAAAGTTTACTGGGCTGTTTCTAGTACCACTTAAAATGTCTCATGATAGAATACCTCAATGCCAAATTATGATTTCAGTCTGTCTGACTTGAAATGGTGTCAGTAATGTAGAACAGAAAACAGGTTGCTAATTCCCATCTGCTCGCAGTGTGTTACTGCATTAATGCTTTGGGCAGTAGCTGTTGATGCTTAAGTTTAGAAAACACTAATACAAATTGTGGTATCTGGACATGTAATCCTGCTTTTAATTTGATTTTCAATTCCATATATTCTCCAAAGAAGGGAGCAAAATAATTTGGCTCTTAGTAAGAAAACTTTTTTTAAAATGCTTATTTTGTTCAAGAGTAGCTCAAACTGGAAGAGATGTGATTAACTTGATAAGATAAATTATTCTAGCTCTCTGTTCATTGATAGAATGCCAATTTATGTCACTTTCTATGTTTCCTTCTGAATACCAACTTAATCAAAGAACTGAAAAGGAAGCTGATACTCATTTGTGGTTTTTCAGATCATATATAGGTCCTGAATAAGGAAATTGTTACTATTGAATCTATTTTTATGCAAGTGGTTAAATCCTATTGGTTTAAATTCTAAGATTACTTTTATTTGGTCTGAAAGCTAATGAATCTATTCTCATTTGCCTTTTTGAACCTTGTCCAGAACTAGATCATATGCAGTGTTTCATATTTGTCTGAAAATTTAAATCCTAAATACAGATAATCTACGTAAATATTTGTATTTACTAAAAAACCCCTGTGTTACAGTTTTCAAGTTAGCAGACACTGAAAAGTTCATAACATCCAAATTCTTTAAATTAATCTGGCAGATTTTCAGGTTTTAATATTTGTATGATGAGAAGTAGTTTTCTCAGGTTTAGTTATAGAATACTCTGTAGTTAGCAAGGTAATCTTTAAAACTGTTCTCTGCTGCTAATTATGTAAACAAGCATGCTATCACAAAGATGAATGACAGCAATGAGTTATCTCCAGTGGCACTGCAGAATCTGACTCCCATGACATTGGGTGTGGGAACAGGTATTGAATAGAGCAGAGACTTAACCTGCTCTATAGTCAGCACGTGCTACTTAGCTGAACTGTAGCAACATGTGTGAGCTGGTTGGTCTCTGAAGGGAAGGTAGCTTGGACCTTCCATTGGTAAGTCAGTAACGCCTTGTAACCATTTTCAATTCTTAGTCCTGCAAGTTACAAGAACAGCCAAACTCTTAAAAAAATGGTAATGTAAGTCTCATTTTCCACAGTATGCATTACCTGTTTATGGAGCAAGTAGGTTTTCAGCATTTTTGTATCATTATACCCTCTTTCTTTGAGTATAAATTGCATACAACTTTAGGCAATTAAAGTAACATTTCTGATTGTCAAAATCAGACACTCTTTTTCAAGTAATAATCCAGTTTTCAAGGTAATTTGCAATTAATTTAAATTCTATCAGATCAAATTTAAAAAAAAAAATTAAAGCTCAGCCACACTATATTTAAACAAAATTTCCTTTGAAGATTTTTTTTTTAATTGAATTTTAAGAGCTCAAACTGTCAATATATTGATACATTTACAATAGATTGTTTTGAGAAGAAGAAGAGATCAAGGCTTCTGGAGACTTTTATTTCTGAAATTTCACTACAATTTAGACTTTCAAGGTGCTGTGATGGTTTGGGGCAACTAAGCCCCTGACAGCTGCTTGCTCACTCCCCACCCCCCCAGCATGTTGTGGAGAGAGAATCAGAAGAGTAAAAGTGAAAAAACTTATGGGTTGAGGTAAAGGGAGTTTAATAATTAAAATATAGTAACAATGATGATTAAAATTTTTCATTAAAAGGAAAATCACAAAGAGACCTGTAAAACCTGAGAATTTATGCAAATGAAAACAATTGCTCACTACCAACTGACTGATGCCTGGTCATTCCTGAACAGTGGCCCCCCAGCAATCCTACCCCCAGCTTTGTATGCTGAGCATGACATCATATGGTATGTAATCTCCCTTGGGTCAGTTGGGGTCAGCTGTCCCTCCCAATGCTTTGTGCACCCCCAGCCTACTCACTGGTGGGGTGGGGTGAGAGGCAGAAAAGCCCTTGACTCTGTGTAAGCACTGCTCAGCAATAACTAAAACATCACTGTGTTATCAACCCTGTTTCCAGAACAAATCTGAAACATAGTCCTGTACTAGCTGCTATGAAGAAAATTGACACTAGCCAAAACCAGCACAAGTACTAACTTAATACCTTGAGAAATTTCACTTAGAGGTAGAGAAGAATATTTCTCGAAACTGAGTTCAGTGACGTTTACGTGAAGTGGTAAATACTGTCGATTTTGGAAACCCAGAAATGATTTAATGTTTTTGTTTTTTTTTTTTTTATTTTGATCTTTACAGATCTTGAGGCTGTTATCATTGAACTCAGTATGGCAACTTGATGTTTCAAAATGGCCAGAAAAATCGTAATAACAATAAAAAAAAAGTAGTGGGTTTTTAATTTATTTCCCCATGGCTTATTGCAGGCATGTAGGAAAACATACGAAAACATTATAGTAATGAGCCCAGCCTTTAACAAACTGCCATTTTAAAGCTTTTGCCAAAGAAGCTTGGGGGTGGTGGAGGGAAAGCTGTCAGAAGTCTGAAACTTCTTGTTAAAAAACAGTGGCTTTAAGTTATAGAAGGGCACAGGATATCCCATTTGTGTTTTCTGATAGACTTTTCAAGCCAGGTATTCTGTTAGTCCAGCTCTAATCCCCCAAACTTCTCAACAGAAGTTTCCCAACTGCTGAATAAACGTTCTGCTAGCATTCTCCTGTCTCACTTAAGGGATTTATGCTAGTGCTGGAGGCAATAATTACCTGTGTTGAGGAGAAGTTATTTCATTTTCTTTAGTAGCAGGTTAATCTTTGTTCCATTCTTTACTAATCATATACCACAATGTTCCTTTCCTCTGTTTTATAGGTGTCTTAAGATCTTAGGGTTCTAGCTGTCTACTAAAGCAAAAAAAAATAAACTTGTAAAAAACCTCCCAGCAAAATACTTAAAAAACAGAGTTAGGTGCTGATTTTGTGTTCTTAGTTATTCCATAGCTATGCAATGAAAAAGAGATATTCTGAATCATCATGCAAGAGAATTCCCATTAGATGAGCTTCAGCATGTAATTAGCTTCTATGCATTTCATTGTTTGGTACTGTAGTAATGCCTCACTGATCACCATGGTCCTTAAGGAAACTGGTTGTACTCATAAATCCTATGAATGATTAAAAAAACCATGCTTTTCATTCATGGAAACAATTTTTCACAGTGCGAAGGTACCATCACTACAATAATATGTGCATTATATTATCTGAACTCTCACTGTATTTATGGATAATTGCGTAATTATCGATATATACAAAAATATATTAAAAGAACATCTTTAAAGTTGCAAACATCAAATTCTTGGAAAGAAAGGAAGAGATAATCTTGCTAACACTGCATGAATTACTGTATTTTCTTTCTGATTTATAGATTGAAATTAAGGCTCTGAAAATGTAGTGTCCAAGGCATAAACGAGTTTTGAATGACCAGATTCAGACCCATTAGATTTTGATGTTTCAGTACATTTGAAATGTCACATAGCATTTGAGGTGCAGCTGCTGTTGCAGCTGAGGTGGTTTAACATCCTAGTTAATGGTATCAGAGGACTGTGAGACAAAGACCATTCAAGAGGCAACGTGGTATTTCTGCAGTTCTCTAGTGACATGTCTAGATGACAGATGAAGTTCGAGATAATTGTGGAGATTGAATTCTTCAGTGGTATTAAACATGAGACTGTCCTCCAAGTTACTGCAGTCACATATCATTAGAAAGTATGTGCTTTCTGACTATTCAACAAGTGAGCTGAAGACTTTGTAGGCTGTCTGGTATGACTGCTGTTTGTTCCAGAACTTCTTCCACTATGCTGCAAAAGCAAAGGTTTTTGGCACAGCGAAGGGATAAAAACCTGTGATGGACAATAAAGTATTAAATCCTATGCTGTTGCAGAACAGTATCCTTTTGGTACTCTGGCCTGGAACTTGCTTATGTGCTCTATTTGCACTGGTGTTTGTATAGCCAGTAACATCATAAGAGCTGTTAAGATCTGATCTGCACTGTTGTACTCGGGGGTAGTACCTAGACCAGGTCATCACAGGGACCTTCAAGAAGGACTTTGGCAAAATTGCATGGAGAGTGCTTTAGTTGTTAAGTAGTCATAGAAATATGTGTGTTTCCACAGAGTTTATATATTGGCCAATTCTAATTTTTTTTTGTTTGGTTTTTTTTTTTTTTTTTTTTGGCGAGCGTGATGGAGGATGTGTCCCACATAGTTTACTATTAAATTTCAAATCATTGCTCAACAAACTTGAGCTTTCCATAGAGACTTGCCAACATATTTTGACTTTGAATAATCTACTTTTCCATAGCTTTGTTTTAAGAAATAGCTGTGCAACTTTAGTAGAAACCTTACAGTTCTGGGCAGGTGGTACTAGAGGTTGCAGAAATGTACCTGACAACTGTATTCAGTACATAACTTTAACAAAGTTGCAAGATCCTGAAACTATGTTGCTAGGAAGTACTGAGTAATCTTGATAGATAGTAATTTAAGCTTCCATATGATGTTCTTTGTATTTATGAAAATTCTTCTCTGGAAAGAATGTGAAGAAATAACTTCTTGGAAGTGGCTTTTTGTTTCTTCAGTTTTTAATTTTTGTAGTTTTAAAGGTTATGATGGTTGCATGAAGCAATACAGGGTCTGTTTTGCTATCAGTAGAACAAACAATAGCGTAAACCAGTGTAGCCAACCACGCTGCCCCAGTCCCTGCCCGAAGGAAAAAAAGAAGTGGAAAGAAATGTCTGTTGTGAAAGTGAATTCTCATTTGTTCCTGTTACTTAATTGCTATGGAGCCTGCCTCCTAATTGTGAAAAGTCTTTCTGGTGCCATTCATGTACTCAAGCAGTAACAGGAAGTCATGTGAATGTTTAGGAATCCTAATGGCATGTCCTTTTTTTGGCTTGGATACAGTTGGTGATTTTGGCTGTTTTCTTACCTTTTTCTTGTTAGCGTGTAGCTGAAATGTTTGTTCACAACTCTGGCAAGTTTCCTATGAGGAAAGCTGCTTTGTGAGCAAAGAATTTTTTGTTTTAAATGATGCAACATCTCTGTGCGACATGATTTAAGAGATTTTGTTATTGTGGAAGGAATAATTAAACATTTTTTCCTAGTCTAGTTACCAGCCAAGATTCAATAACAGGTTTTTAGGCAATGGATTTTCAGCAGGGCTTTATCTTACACTGGAGATTCTTTGGTGGTACTCGTAATATGTGGAAGAAGGGATTTTCAGCATTGGCCTTAGACATTCTAAGTGAAGACAGTGGGCTTAACCGTTGGCTTCACTGTAGACAAGTCAGTACTGAGCACTTTCTAAAATCTAATAATTGCTTTGTGATGAGTGATTTGTAGTGACTAAAATACCGTATCAATTTGTCTGAGTGAAATTTTATTCTATCAGATGACTACCAGTCCTAGTATAGCAAACTGTTTTACAGTGTAAGAAAACCTGTTTATGATTTGTTTTTCAGGTCATAGAAGTTAAGTTTTGGGAAGGTATCCTTAAACTTCATCTAGTTGGAGCCTATTTCAGGACAAGCTTAGGGAGTATTTGTAAAATTAAAAAGGATAATTTAAGGAATCGTATAAAACTGTGTCAGTAAATTGACGGGAACTACCAGGGATGGAAGGGAGAAGAAATTTTGCTGAACTGTAAAGAATTAGAGTAACAGAGAACCCAAAGAACCCATAGCTGTTAGTGTGGGTTTAGAGGTGGCAAGTTCAACAGTAAATTGAATAAAGATGATGGAATCAAGTATACGTAGTGATATGTTTAGCACAGTGTACAGGGATCTTCAAAACGTTGGAACTGATTCAATTTTCTTTTATACTGACTCTGTATTCAAATGCATACCACTGTTAGTAAATACACTGCGTCTTTTGTAGACGGTGGACATTCACAAAGAAAAAGTTGCTAGAAGAGAAATTGGTATCTTGACTACAAACAAAAACACCTCAAGAACTCACAAAATCATTGCACCAGCTAACTTGGAGCGACCAGTTCGCTACATCAGGAAACCTATTGATTATACAATTCTAGATGATATTGGACATGGAGTGAAGGTAGGTGATATTGTTAAAACAGCCAAACTGCAAATACATTGTCTTTTGTATATTTTCAAAATAACTTGCTGTTTCTCGTAGTAATACACCAGTTTCTCCTTGCTTGGCCAGTGTGTCTATAAGCATAAGAGGAGTCCTGTCCAATTTGCAGTTGCCTCTTCTTTTTCCCTTGTCCCAGTGTTTCTAAATCTTGCAAGCCTACTCAACCTTATTTCTGAGGATATTTGAGACTATGGGTCTCACCTTTTAAAATGGGTCTGAATGCCTGCTTGTGTGATGCTGTTACTTGTTTTCTTAATCAGTTGCCAGGGATATACCTGGGGACTGAAAGGCTAATGGCCATCAGTTTCCTGCTTGAATTAGCACCACAAACTATGATCCAGCTGTAATTGCCACTGGTTTGCTTTGAAGCTCACCTGAAGAAAGGGTTTGCATAAGAAGTATTATGGGCTGCCTTTTCTTCCTTCTGTCAGTCAGTTATACCCATATCCTGTGATGCGCTTTGTTAAAGTGAGTGCTCTACAACTTTAGTGCCATATGGAGTTTCAGAATGGGAATACTGCTGCCAAGCTTGAAGCCAGCTGGTTTTCTCTTTTAAGACTAGGAAAAAAGGAGGCATTTCAGGGCAAAGATCAGACTGAGACGCAACTGGTGGCTGTTGTATGCGGATGTTAGATCAGTGTACACAACAGCAGTAATATCATGTGTGAGATTATTTATGCACATTTTTAAAAGCGCATCCTGAATGTAAACAGTCTTGGCAGGTGTGAGCTCATTGTTAACTTGTGCTGCCAGGAAAACAAATATGGAAAAGAGAACACTGACAGTGTTAAAGTTCCAGGAGAAGAAAGGTAAATAACATAAAGCAGTGTCATTTTCACATGAAAAACTAACAAATCTGTAAATCTGCTAAGTAGCAGTAAGGTAAGGTGCTTCTTCCAGTCAGTGTACACCAAAATTTCTTTTGCTTGACGCCTAACTGCATTAGGTTACCTGTGTTGTTCAACTTGAACTGCCTGCTTGGATGGCAAAATTTCTTTTGCTTGACACCTAACTGCATTAGGTTACCTGTGTTGTTCAACTTGAACTGCCTGCTTGGATGGCAAAATTTCTTTTGCTTGACACCTAACTGCATTAGGTTACCTATGTTGTTCAACTTGAACTGCCTGCTTGGATAGCTATTTAAATGACAAAGATGGTTTAACCAAACTCTTAAAATTCAAATTCTGAACAGTCCAATTTAAATATCTTTGCCAAGCAATTTTTCTCAAGGTCTTTCAATATCTTTAACAATCAATATCTTTCAATATCTTTAACAGGAAGTCTTTCTTCCCCATTTCCTACTGAAAGAGTCAGTCTCGGTTTGTAACTTTAGACAGATTTTAAAAAGACAAGTGACTCTTTAAGCTTGATTTAGAAAACCAAACCAACAAACCCCAGCATTAATAACTAGAGTTTTCACCCAGAAATTATTACCAGTCTTGCGTTAAAATCTGCTGCTAATTCTTACAAATTTTGAATTTATGCAGGTCAGCAGAACTCCTTCTGGATGTGGATGAAGCATATTAACCTGTAGGATTACTGTTGCTAATATTTTAATGATCACTTTTGTTTCAAGGAGATTATTTTAGAACTCATTAAAGAATAGTTTTTAATTGTTCAGCAGCACAATCTTATTTAGCACAGGCTCTAAACCATTATAACTGGTATCCCACTTACCTCAGTGTAGCAGAACAGTACTCACTGATGCAATGAGGTATGTTCTGAAAGAACATAGTTCATCAAATGGATGATGAGTCAAATGTGTATTTGCATCCATTTTTATGCTTGTGGTATGCTGAAAACATTTTACAAACTTTATTTACAATATACTGTATGTATCAAGAAAATAGAAAAGTATTGTGTACTTGTGAAACAGTAAGTGGAGAACTTGAAATCATGCTATCCTTAAGATCCATAGATGTGACAGTAAGTTGGAGAACTTGAAATCATGCTATCCTTAAGATCCATAGATGTGTTCCAATCAGGTTAACCATCTGTTCAGCGCAGAAGAAGAAAAACATTCTGTTGCTGATGGGAGGAAGTGGCCAGTTGTGCTTATGAACCTGTTTTTGTGCTTGGCCAAGAAATCCAGTCTACCATGTTGAGAGAAGTAATATAGGCACTTGAGCACCTATTCCTTCCATTCAGAAATTCAAAGCATCTTCAGGAAGAGATGCTTTACCATATGGTTTCTTTAGAGGTGAGAGAGAATTTAAGTGCCACTATCATTCCAGCGGTCTCTCCTCATCTTCCCTCCCTAAGCTACCATGCTGCAGGAATCTGAAGATCTCTCTAAAAGAGATTTGATTTTAATTTTTTTCAAATGTTTTCTGAGTTACAAAATCTTCAGATCTGTTTGTCCCTCCTAAGAGCTTTTTAGTCAAGAGGATGAGGGGAAAAAAGGAAAAGAAGATCCATTCAAAGTCATGTGTATTAAGGTAAATTATCAGGGAATGCTATTGAGGAAAAGGTCATGGACCCTCTTACGTAACTGGCCACCCTGGCCAGTACAGGGGCACCTGGTTTTCCTGTGTAGCTGTATGAAGCAGAGACTGTTTTGGTTAATAGATCCATAGAACTTTAAAGTCAAAGACAGGAGATTTTCCTAGTAAATCCTATTATGTTTCTTTTTTAATACATTAGGGTCTCTTCTAAGTGGATGAAACAGAGTAGGCACCCTGGATGCTCTGCTGTTGAGATTCTGCGTATTTAATGTTTGTTTTTACAAGAATAGTACGTTCAGATTAGCTGAACTGAAAACGGTCAAATCACATTGAAATGGAAAGACTAGTATTTCTGAAAAAGTGGTTGTATGGAAAGAAGAGGAGATGCATGCCAGTAAGGTGTAAGACTCAGTGTCAAAAAGCTAGCGCTTAGGCTTTAAAATAAGATTTAGCTGTTGATTAATGTCTTAAAATACAGCTTAGAAAATACTGGTATGTGGTGCAGTATCCATATAGAGTGCTGTACTTCTTACAAGACATAATGATTTGCTCTTGTCATTTGTTCAAGAGAGATGTCACGACATCAGGTTAAGAGTTAACTAACAGCATTGTCTAGGAGAGAAATATTAGCTGAGAAAGGAAATAGTAGCTTAATATTCTGGGGGCTGTTGTAAATATGTTAATGCATGTAACCATTTAAATGAGTAAAGGTATTGATAAGGCTATTCTTTGAGAGCACAAATAATTTAATCTCTAAAGCTAATCTATCTAGATCTCACAATTCATTCTGAAAGAAGCTGACATTTTGTTAGCACTGTAACAACTTGCGTAAACATTGTACAGAGCATAAATTTTAAGGTATTAATCCAAAGGCTTTGTAGTCAATGTATGTTAAAAGTTTCAGCTTAAATCTTTTTGTTCATGACACCTTCTGCTTTAATCACTCTTTCTATGATCTACTGATACATTATTTTGTTAATGCTGAATGCTTAACTTTTTTCTTTCTTTTTCCTTTCTCTTCATATCCTGAAGTTCCAACTAACCTTTCAATGCTTTTTTTCCTTACCTCTTTTATTTGCTCCATTTATGCATTAAGTGGTTGCTTAGATTTAAGGTAAGAAACCCCAGGGCTGGATTTCCATTCTTATTCTTCTGAGATTATTACACACGGGGAGATGATTAACATAAATGTTACTTGATTGTTTAAAACAACACCCACTCTCCCTCCTGTGTATCAGACCTTCTGTTGAATGATTTCATTGCAGATAAACATTTTGTGATACAAATTGATGTATTTATGTAAGGAAGCTAACACAGTTAATTTGAAAAGACTTGTGGCAAAATATTAACTGTCTTCAGCATACCTAGTAGATGATTTGCAAGGGTGGAATGTTGTGCTAATCTTGTATAGATGAAAAGGTACAGTGAATTAGGCAGCTGAATATGAGCCTCCCCCTGTGTAATATTCTTTTTATCCTATATGCGGTATAAGGTATGATTTGATTTGGATTAATGTTTCAGTGTGAGATTGCTCAGATAATGGGCTCCAAAGGTCTGTAACAAATTCAAATCTGTATGTTATTTTTTAAAGTTGCAGTATCCTTATTTTTTTTCAGAAACTGCTAGCACTGTTTAAATCCTGAGAGGCATTCATATGTGGAAATTTTCACAGATTTGATAGTTGTGCAAAATATAAATCCTAAACAAGCTATGTGATACATTTTAGTTGAGTATTAAATGTAGTACAGCAAAGAACTCAGTGAAGTATGTAAAATTCTCAAGGACTTTAAAAAGGTTTAAATGCTAGTAGCCTTAGGAGCTGCAGAAGTAGCAATAAAAAACATCAAATCAATTAGGCAAGCAGTTAAATGATGTTACATGATACTGTGTTGGAGTTCATAGCACATTAATTGATAGGTCATAACCTTCATTGAGTATTGTGACATCTTTCTTTTCCTGAAGTGCTAGTGGTTTGGGAAAAGAGGGAATGAAAGTTTTCTAGTAGCAGCCCGCCACAGTTTTAAAGAGGGAACTGTACTTAAGAACACAGAATATTTACATGTAGTATGAGTATATTAATTAAATGAAGTTCCAAGTTAATGTGAAATATTTTTCATTACTAAGTGTTTTCCATGATTGGAAAAAGCTGAAAGAAAATCGTGCATATTCCTCAGAAGATTGCCTATAAAACCAGGTATTACTGTAGCTATCCCAATGACATCCTGATGGAATTGTCCAGGTGATACTTTTAGTAATGTATTTAAGTCTGTGTAGTACATCTGATCACAATGGAAAATGTTTAATAAATGAGAGATTTCTTGCATGTTATTTGAAATACATTTTTACATAAGTGTGTGAGGTATGGTATTTCAAGTCACATAGTGTTTAAATGCTTTTTATTTGAGAATTGCAGAATCTTCTCTCTGGCTCTTTCTGTCTGTATCCACACAGAGTGGATACATCTAATGCTGAAGATGGCTTATTCTGAGCACAGTTTATATTGGATGACCATTTTCCTAGCAATCATAAAAAAAAAAATTTTGCAAACTCAGGTGTTTTTTGTTGCTCTCTGTAGTTTCAATTATAAACAAGTAATGACTATCCTAAAAATAAATTTATATATAATTATAGATTTTTATGTGAGGTACTGTATCAGATAATCTCATCTGCCATGGTGATAAGAGCCTTTAGCTTTTCACAGAAAATGATTTTTTTCTATTTATAGGTTTGGAATGAAAGTAACATTTTTGGTTATAATGCAAGTTAAAATGTTTCTTTGTTTTCACTCGAGAGAATCTGATCAGAAATTTGATTTGGGAAATGACAACATGTCAATCAACTCATTGCCAAAACGTGAGGATTTAAAAAAAGAATTAAGTCAAAAAGCAGCATAGCTTCTCTTAGTGGACATTAGTTACTAGTTAAATCTCAGTAGAGTTGCTGTTCATTGGCCCGAGAGATGAAACCTGAAAGACAGCTACTAACGCTAGTTCCATGTGAGAAATAATTTTACTTACGAGAGACTGGATATGACATGTTTAGCCTGCATTGATTTTCATGGCTGTGAAGAGCCCTTAGTCTTAGTCAACAGTTCCAATATTAAACTGACTGACTGTAGCAGGGCTGTGCTTGTGTCTGGGTAGGTTAAACTTAAACAGATTTTGAAGAAAATGCCAATTAGAAGTCAAAGGAATATCTGTAGCATCTGCTGTCAGCAAATCAATTGAAGATGACATTGTTTAAAGCTTTTTGATTTGCCAGACTTGGTTCTTCAGTTACTTTACATAAGTGGATGTGGTGAAAACTAGTTAATTCCCTTGCTGAAGCTGCATCTTATGGTCATTTCCCGAGATATTTCACTTTCATATCAACTGACAAACATATAGTTTAATTAGATATACAGAGTAAGTTACTCAAGTGGCTGAACACAGCCTGAAAGGGAATTTACTTTGAGGTAGCAGATAATGGGTCAAAAATCTGTGCCTCCTTTCTGTAGTGTTAACAAGATGAAGCAAGGTTTCAGAAGGTAGATTTCATTCAGCCTTAGTTTGTTTGTGCTGGAGTCAGATATAAAGTTGCTCAAGAAGGTTGAGTAGCTGCTTGAAGTTTCTGAATATGACCTGTGGAACATCACTGATGGGACACTTTTTCTGACTAGATTTTGGGCAAAACATGATTCTTTTGACATGCTGAAAGTTCTAGAAAATCTAATATGATGGTAAAGCACCACTTAAAAATTTCTAGGCTGAGCCTGATTTTAGCTTTAGAAAGTAGCTCCTCCTGAGATTTGAGTGTGTGGAACAGCTGGTATTCAGGATTCTTGACAGGGGTGTGGGGTGGGAGTGAGGGGAACCAAAATTAAAAAAAAACCCACAACAACAAACCCCCAAAAAGGCAAACAACAAAACCTAATAACAAACCAAAACACTTTGTTTTGGTAATTGGACTGACAATGAAATGTTCTTCAGAAGAGTAAAACACGTGTATTGAAATCTTCCTTACAGGTAGGTGCCTTGCAGCCATGTAAATACACAGTGCTTTGGTGCAAATAGTTTTTGTAGTTTTTGCACCTCTGATGAGCAGCTCTTTCATCTGGCCACCTATGTGTTTATGCATTTCTTGTTCAGTGATTTTTTTTTTTTTTTGCTCATGAAAAATGTTCCCAAGAACTGAATTGAATGAACTGCAGGATTTCTCAGTGTTAACTTGTTTATTTCACTACAAATGTCTTATATGGTGGAGTGCTAAAGAAGCTTAATCTCTTAAATGTTTCTAAAAATGTAACTGTAAATGAAACTCAGTCATATGTAGCACCTTAAGAAGGTGCTTTAATCACTGCATCTATGGAAAAACTAGTTGCCAAAAATAAAAATTGGACAAATAAGTCTTATTTATTCAAAACATTAATTATAATTTTCTAAGGGCTCTAGTCAGTCCTGTACTGCGTCTTAAAGTCATCAGATGTCACCTTTCTAAAACTGACAATGTAGATTAGTAGAGAAGGTACTGGATGAAATACTATTGTACCCTTTTTAAACAGTGGTCCACAGTTGTAATATTTTCTACTTTCTTGCTTCCATGGGAAGAGGCAAAAAAAAAAAAGGAAAAAATCCGTGTATGTGTTCTGGGTAAGACCCCGTGTGCTACTTGCTGTTCACAGGGTTGTCTTCCCATTTTTAGAACAGTCCAGCGACATTTTTTTTCTTTTTTTAATGAGCATTGTACCCAGATCATTACTACTGTCTTAATTTTTAATTTTTTTAGCACAGTGGTTAGCTTTTTTGGCAGTTGTGAGCAGAGGCAGAGGTAATCCTTTGTGTTTCTGGGTGTAGGCTCCATTGTGCCACACAGTTTCATAAAAGAATTTGCAAGCTTTAACTACACACCAGCCATAGATCTGTGGGGTCCTGCAAACCAGCCCCCAGAAGACAGATGCATTCTTCTGCTTTCCCCCTCTGATTAAACCAGTTGCATCTACATAGTTTCAGCTGTGCAGAGCCAGGGGAAATGTGGTCAGAAACCGGGTGACTTCTGGCAAATTCCACTTTCCACTTTACTCCAGAAAAGGGATTTTGGAAACTTGAAAGCAAATGCAAATGTGACCTGAGTTCTGCTGGTTGCTTTGGATTTGTAAGAGGAATGTGTGTGAATGAGAATTTGTGTATGGAAATGATCTTTACAATCATATGTGCAAACCAGAAGAGACAATAGAGTAAAATTTTGCAAGAGGGGGGCATTAATGTCTTCCCCCCTCCCCCTTTTTCCCCTTCTAGTAGAAGTTGTCATAGAAAGGGACAGCTGGAAATGTGACAGTGTTTGTATCTCAACTGAAGTTGCAACTCTGTAGTTTTAAATTTTATTTTACTTTTCTTTCTTCAAGGCAGTCTGTAAACTTTCTTAGTGGTTTGTATGGTATTATTTCCACAGATCTGACCAGAACGGTTGGAAAAATGTTATATTCTTTATTTCTCTTCTATGATTATTTGGCCATAAGTCGAAGGGGAACTTGCAGTAGCTGCTCTTAAAGCCATCAGTGCTGTCAGATTTGATGACAGCCCTGTAAACCTGTTTTTTTAACATTTTGATTTCAATGTTGAAAAGTCATTACAAAGAGCTTGAAACTAAGCTTACTGTCAGTGCATTTCCCCATCTTTCATTTTAGTCTTTAAGGATGGCTCCTTTTGTGACTGTAGTTTCGTGGCTAAAATATGATCCACTTCTTTTTGGCAGTATTTTCTAAAGCTTATTTCCCATCCTATGTCAAGGGTATATTTATTCACAATGTTAATGAAAGTAACTAGCAGTCACTGGATTTATGCATTAGGCAAGTATTACTTTGAATTGTTACTGTATACTGTGTGATGGCGCTACATTCTCCACCTCTACTGTCCTTTCTTTTTGTGTAGTTCTAGCCCAGTGGAAGCCTAAAACATCATTTTTGTTCCTGCAGTGATTGTATATGAATAATTAGAGCCTTTATGGTTAAATATATGGAATCTTACATTAACTGTAAAGTATTAGCTAGTGGTTACCTCATCTGATCAGAAAGAATTAGGTTGAAACACCTAAATGGACTTTTCAGGGGCATGCAGATTGGTTGACATTTGCTGTCATCTAAAAACTTTCAAAACCCCTGCCCCTGTAGGCTTAATGGGCAGTTTGAAATATAGCAAGAGACAATGCAGTAAGGTGGGGTTTTTTGGGCAACTGAGATAGGTGGGTGAGTAAAACAGGCATCTTATTAAAAAGGAAGTACAGGGGTGCTGCAACTTTAAAAAAAAAAAATCTAATTTTGTGCTGTTTCTTAATGTTCCGTATATAGAATAAAACATTTTACACTTACCCTCCTCCCTTCAAGTAGTTGTAGTTCAGTGCTTACCTCATCCCTCACTTGAATTAACTTTAGATTTCTTGTTGCTTAGAGTTGGCTTAAAGGACTTCATAAGACTATGCAAAGTAAAGTTTTAAATTGACATTACAAAGTACTCTTGCACAACTAAATCCAAACATCTGTTTTTTGAATCTGACAAAAGAAACCCAAACCCAACAAACAACTTCCATTGCTTGATTTTCTTTTCCTCCTAGCAGATTGAAAATGTAATAGCACTGGGATTATCTAGAGCCAGGGAATTGAGTTTCAGTGCATTAGAATATTGATTATATTGCTCTGCACTGTTGGCAATATTTATGAGTTCACAAATCTAAACATTGTCAGGGTTTTAAATGAGTTGTTATAGTCAAATTTTAAAGGAGTAATTTGCCTTTACTGGTGTTTGCAAATACTCTTAATGCCTTGGTCTCTGTTTCTTTTATATATGGGAGGTAGGGGTAGTAGGCAAGACTTAACATTTTGGAAATAAGAAACACTGTGAAATAGAGCATTACAGAACAACAGAAAAAGGGATGTAAGCATGCTTAGTTAGGTTTGTTGAATATCCCTCTGTCTGAGCATTTCTTTGAGCATTCATAAATCACAGCTGTTTTCACAGAGACTTGTAGGAAGACCATGTATTGGGTGTATGCATTGAGAGAATTACACTTGGCTGGCATAAGCAAAATGCCTACACTGGTAACAATTGTTTAGGATTCCTATACTGGTCAATCAGTCAGAAATGCAGATGAGTTTTTAAAATAAGTTAGAGTAAATTCTTTAATACAAAAGTTACTTCGTTAGTATTTTACCCTGAAAGAGGGGAAATGGGCAACCACAATTAGGTCACATCACTGCTAAATATTTTTCTCCCCATCCATTTATTTATCAATTCTTAGAGATTAAATTGCTACAGATATGATGGAGGGAAAATTGCATCTTTTTATGTTTCTCCATATAGCTTTCTCTCTAGGTTTACATATATATAAATAATATTTACAATAAATATTATCTTAAAAAATATCATACTGTGAAAACATTGAGCCAGTAATGGATCATATTTGGAGATTACTTTGACCCTTCCATATTTGTATGGATAACTTTGAATTGTCACCTATCAGATAAACCTCAGTATTTTTTAAGAGTATTCAAAAATACTTTTGCAAACCTACCATTCAGTAATGCAAACTGAAATAACTGTCTTTATCTCAAAAGATGACTGGAGGGTTTAACCAAGTTAGATACAGTGTCTGTATTGTTAGTGTTTTTATATGACAGCCTAAAGGCAAATTCACTCTTTGTACATACAATTTTTTACACCCCCCCCCCCATATAATAAAGAGTCCTTTGAGCTCAACTCTTGACTTCTAGCAGAGTGGAAATTGCATATAAAATGCATGGCCTCTCAATTTTTTTTGTTCATTTTAACTTTTCCCTGCTTAATTGCTAAAGGTATCTCAGTGTCTCTCCCCCTAGAAGCTTGAGCTTAGTGAAGGCCGTTTTTTTTCTCCCCATTCTTTCATGCAGGTCAGCACACAGAATATGAAGATGGGTGGGCTGCCTCGTACAACACCACCCACCCAGAAGCCACCAAGTCCACCGATGTCAGGAAAAGGAACTATTGGGTAAGTGCAGTTACCAAATCTATGAACGGTTTTGGTGAACAAGAGGAGGGAAAAAAGGAAGATTGTTTCTTTTTCTGTGGTGTGGGGTTTGTTTGGGTATTTTTGTTTGGTTTGGAGTTTACTTTTTTTGTTTGTTTGTTTGTTTTAACCATTCACAAAGGTCAAGGGGTGTTATGTTCTCATTCTCTTACACTGATCTTGTCTCATGTATCAGTTACCGTGTTTCTGTCGGAAGACAGCGGGCATCATTACTTTCCCGACAGGAACTTCTTTACCATTGCAGAACACTTACAACTACGTGCTTTAGAGTAAAAAATCAGTAACTGTGTGGCTTTGACAGATGGTGCTAAACAACTGGAAAATTAGTATGTGGCACTGTTCATTAATTATTTATGCTGTGTGTGATGGAAGTGCTTTCGTGTTAAGTCTGTGAACTTGACTTTGACCTTAGGAAAATATGTTAGAACTGGGATAAATTCAGTCTGTTGGTATGTTATTATGTATATACGTACAAACTGTGGTGTTTTATCTTAAAACAAGATATGGATTACTTTTAAAGCATGAATGGGATGTGCAACACAGAGTTTATTGTTAGGAAGCTTGAAGTACATGAAGAAATCCTCAATTGTTTTTTCTCATCCTGTGAAGTAGATACAGCAAACTTGCAGGAAAACGTACTTTTTTTCATTAGCTCTTATTACTGATTAGTATGTAGCTGTTTTTTAAAGAATGAAAAATCTTTAGGTTTGTCTGTATTATTTTAATTTGCTTCTGATATGTGCTTGTCCTTGGGCAGGCGTCATTCTCCCTATCGTACATTGGAGCCGGTACGTCCTCCAGTGGTACCAAACGACTACGTGCCTAGCCCAACGCGCAATATGGCTCCCTCACAACAGAGCCCTGTTAGAACTGCTTCTGTGAATCAGAGGAATCGCACATACAGGTATTCAATGTAGTCCTGTACAGTGTGTGGTTAGTATTGTATAAGCACATAGACAATAAAAGCTGTGATAAATATCAAATCCATCTGCACCTTTACAGTGAAACCTGCTAATTTACAATATGGACTTGGAACATCATTTGGCATGAGGAGAATGCACTCTAATAAACCCAGAATAGTGAATCATTTTAAGATTGTTCACTTAATCCCCTAGTCACTTTAATTTTAGTGCCATCACTTAGTTACAGTACTTAGTTACTAAAATTGTGATGTTTTTCAAGTGGGTAGATAGTGATATTTTAAGAAATGCTTTCAGAACTGGGAAAAGACTTTGTACACAACTTGCTTTCTACATGTTGAAGGACTGCCCAGTATGTCTGTGGTCACATTTTTGTTTGAATGGTCTTTGATATTTATAGATTGAGTAGCTGAAAAAGAGCATTGTATTTTGAGGCTATTGGTAACAACATTCAGAGAATAAAGCTGAATTATGCTACCAAAGATTCTGGAGAAAGGTAGCTTTTTCTGTAGGATAATAAGTTCAGTGATGTGACAGGTCTAAATACTACCCCTTGAAATCTGTAAACATCATAAGCACTTGAGGATGGCAAAACAGATGGACTTAAGATATAAGAAAACCTGACTTTTACTTCATCTTGAAATTTCCAGATTCTAGTAATCTCACGTGAAAGCACACAAATCAGGGTCTGAACAGTCTACATGTTTTATGAGTTACAGGAAAAAGGTCTGTCTTTGCTCAGTAGGGTTTAACAATATTGCAATGTTGTGCTATGGAACAAGGTTGCAAAAGTTTTTCATTTTTGGGCAAGTTTACTAACTGAAAAAACTGTCGTGTTGTAGTCAAAAGTGCAGAGAGTTTTAGAAAAACTAAGCTTTATATAGGTCTGTATCATCCTTGTTTCTTTTCTCGTTTTCCCTGTTACTTCTCTGAATTAGGAAGGTGCTATATGAGGGATCTTATGTTTCAGCATGCACAGCAGCATATTCATACCATGGGTTATTTTGGTTTCTTACAGCAGCAGTGGGAGTAGTGGAGGAAGCCATCCAAGTAGTAGGAGCAGCAGTCGAGAGAACAGTGGAAGTGGAAGTGTGGGTGTTCCAATTGCTGTTCCTACACCATCTCCTCCCAGTGTCTATCCAGGTAAGTGGAAACTTACTGTTCCTCTTTCTGACTCTGCATTAACCTTTATCATTTGCGAGTCTCCTAAACCCCAAGGAAAGTCTCAAAGTTCATTATCCAGAAATGTGTAAGCCTTGAAAATTGCTTGCTATTTAAAGTGTGAGTTTGAATCAAATAATATCTTTTCTGGTGGTGTCTGATGTGCTCCCATGCTTGCTTCGTATATTATATATATTAATTTGTTTGTCCCTTTTTTTTTTTGCCTGTCTGCCTACATGTAACTAGGTAGGGCACAACTACTTTTTTAGTAGGCTGGGGGAAACTTCTCCCTTGTCCTTTTGAGCAAATACATGTTTCTTTCAGTGGCTGTGCAGATACATAGAAGCATGTTTTTAGAAAATTAGATGAAGTGAGAGGCAGTCACAGAGTAAATCTTTAGTACATTAGTGCAAGCCTGAGTTGTCACAAAAAGATACTTGTTCAATGTAATTGCCACAGTCTTTCCAGAAATAGGAGGTGACATTAGTACTCTTCTTCCTTTGCTCAGTCCTTTAAGTGAAGTGCATAGTTGGTTTGCAACATAATCTGAGATACATGATGCTACTGAAACAAAGAACTGGACATATTTGGCTCTCCTCTTCTCTAATTAGGTAATTTATGCAAAGCTAAAGGCAGCCATGCTGCAGATAGAAGCATAAATAGCAAGGTGTAAAGGCATCTTTCAGAAGTGATGGCTTTCAGTGAGAACTTCTGGGTTGTTCCCTTCAGACCTGTAAAGAAGTGGATTTGCTTGACCCTCATTTACCGTCTACATAGGAATGAGCCTTTTTTTAACAGCTCCATTTTTCTCTCATCTCCTCGTGCATTCTAAAATACTATGCATCTAATGAAGAGCTAACACTGGATAGTCAGCAGCTTTCTCTAATCCTTGCTAACATATCTCCTTATTAACTCCACCTCTTCCTCCTCTCTTCACGTAGCCCCTGCTGGCTCGGCTGGCACTGCTCCCCTTCCTGCTACCTCTGCTCCTGCCCCCACTCCTCCTGCTCCTGCCCCTTCCTCTGCTGCCCCAGATGCTGCTGCTGCTGCTGCAGGAGCTCAGCCCCTTGCTGATGGCTTCACCTCTCCAACTCCCCCTGCTGTTTCTTCCACACCCTCTACAGGTGAGTGTGTGCTCAGCTGGTGGGCAGAGGAACCCAGATGTGATCACGATCCAAGGCTTTTTCAAAGTTACTTCAGAAGCAGTGACCTTTTTTAAATTATGTTTTAAAATATAACCAGAAAATATCTGCTAATAACCAGCTATAAGGTAATGGCTACAGCAGACAATTCAAGATGTGCTAGTTTTATAAAGAGCAATAATTTTTAATTCTATTATTTTTACATGTATATAATTAATTATTATAATTTGATTACAGTTTGAATACTGAGACTCTCATAGAATAATTATGGTGGGGGAACCAGCACTGATAGTTTGGGTCTGATCTCTTTCAGTGATCGAATAAAAAAAAGTGCATCTAGCAAAGTATAATTTGTATGACTTGTCTCTTCAGTGCTTTCAAATGACAGGTATTCCTTCAATGAACTGATTAAAAAAGCCAATTTTTTTTGTGTTCAGTGTCAGGTAGAATACAATTTTTTTATTATGCAGAATAGTGCTAAAGCATTTTGTTTTAATACATGGTATGTTGGGTGTATATTGCAAATTGCTTTTTTTAGTGCTTATGAAATTACCCTACGCTTTTTCATTTTCTCATATGCTGAAGTTGCAGCATAACCATAAGACTGTTCTATATCAGGTTTTGAACAGGGAGTTACACCTGTATTTTAAAGATCTCCTTTAGACAGTGAAATTCGTACAGAGCTACCTACGACCTTTGTTATGTTGTTATAGTGGAGGCTGATCACAATGGTCTGAATAGGTTTGTGTATTTATTACTGTTGGTGTCTCTTAGAATTTCACCAGGTGCCAGAAGCATTCCTGAAGTCCTATTTAGTTTAAGGTGCTGTGACACATATAAAATGGGAATATACTTATGCTAGAATCCATGACTCTGACTAGAAGCTTCCAGACTGTAATGAATTTTGGTATTAGAAGATGATCCTGTTGTCTAAACTACTTCCATGATTAGATGATGATCTGTGTCATGTGGGCCCTCAGTCAGTTTTCCATTTTTGATGCACTGTCAGTATTCTACTTAAGCCATAATGCTTCTGTATTTTTAATAAATCAAAGTCGAGCAGAGATTAATGTTTTAATGGCTATAAATTCACATTCACAATCTGTAAGAGAAATTTCAGGTTACTCACCTTTCTAAGATCTTTTCTTGCCCTGTGCTATTAGTGAGGGTGCTTGCACGGCTCCTCTGAAAAAAGTTTTTGAAGAGACTGTATAGTTTACCATCTATGAAGTTGTAGGTTTTGGTTCTTAAGGATTTCTTATGCATCTTTTTTCTGTCCTCGCTTCATTCTAATCACCACCAATTTCTACCAGTGCATTAAGAAACAGGGAGACAGGCACACTGGAAAGATGTATTAGGAAAAATGTGAAAAAGATATATATGTATCTTTTATATATATACACACACACACACACACACACACGCATTAGGAGGATTCCTTTGTAGTAACTCCTCCGTCTGTAAAAAGTGCATTTTTTGGGATGTATCCATACAAAGCAGGAGGAATGTGGATTTTTGCATTTGCTCTTAGGAGCAAGTAACATTTTATTTACTGACCTAGTGTGAAGCTTTGCAAAGGAATCCAAGCAGAATGGAGAAAACAGTGCAGGTTTTTTAAAAAATGCCCATTTCTTTGTTCTGCTGCCCTGTTTACTCCCCTCCATGCAATTCTCCTCAGCCACAGTGACCACCCCTTCTCCCCTTGTTTCCTTGCATTTCTTCAGAATGGTGGAGGCAGAATAGTTAAGGAGGGTAATAACCCATATGGCTATAATAAATCCAGTTTATTATATACAGCATATAAGGAAAAGAACTTTATTTGAGCACAGAAGAGAGCTTAGTGGTCTTGCTTAGAATCAGGATCAATTATTTTGATACAGGAAGTGATTGAAACCAAGAGCAAGTTTTTAAGGAGTTGTTTCAATTGACAGCTCCCTGAGGGAAAGGGGCTTTGAGTACGATTTAATTTATTTCCTTCTTCAAGGAGTTCCTAACATTCTCTTCTCCCCAGATGGCTCTCTGCATGTTTCCTGAATAGCAGTAGCGTAGTTAGTATTGTGTTTTTCGGTTGCAGAAGGTAACAGCTTTGAATCTTGGAAATGGCGTACAGTTACTTTGTACGTATATGGTGTTTAATTGCTGAACTGTGAAGTGTAACTTTTTTGCAGGTTTATAAATAACTAAATTTGCAAGAAGCTGTTGCATTGTATAGAATGGATAACTGGGAATTATTTTCTTTCATATTGAAGCTTTGTAGCTTAGACAGCTCTGTATTTGGATTTTGTGAGCAGTGCTGATTAGAGGCAGTAGGGAGAGCTGTTTTTTGTGTTTCTATTGAGATATCCAGTGTCCTGACAGCCTTGCAGTTCAACTGTCTGACAGCTCCTAGGATGCAGATGTCTTTAAAAAGACCCCAAAACCTTTCCAAGCCTTTGAATCTTGAATGCGAATATAAAACAGGCAGTCATCATTCCTCTCTTTGCTAATACATTTCTCTTTCTAACCTAGGTCACCCAGTTCAGTTCTACAGCATGAACAGGCCTGCATCTCGACACACCCCCCCAACAATAGGGGGATCTTTGCCATATCGGCGTCCTCCTTCGATCACATCACAGACAAGCCTTCAGAACCAGATGAATGGAGGGCCATTTTATAACCAGAATCCAAGTAAGAAAGTTTTTCTGCTCTGTTGGAATTCAGCACAGAGGTGAATGGAGAGGCCTTCGGGTCTCTGAAATCTTATGTTCTGTTGCCCCTGCAGATCTTGCAGTTAGTCTCGGGTGACTTCCAGTACATTGCGGGTAGCCATGCCAAAGCTGCAGTCAAAGTACAGAGTGTTCAGCTCTCATTATGCCAAGCAGTTTAAAACAATACTGGCTTTGTTGCCAAATAAATTACTTTTGATCTCACAGTCACTATCAGAGAAGCTTAATTCCTTTACTACACCATGTGTCATGTATCTGCTTTGTTGCATGGATGGGTATTTGACATTGCACCAGAACACTGATACTTCATTAATCAGTCTTTATCTTGTATGCTTTTTCCTTCTGATTAATGGTCAGTTCAAGAAATTGCATTTGTTATACAAGGGTAAGCATTAGACACCGTGGAGTCGTCATGGTGTTTGGTATGGGATACAAAGGTGCTGTGTTATCTGTTAAGTCTACAGGTGATGTTATTTTAATAGACAACCTGTCTTAAAAAGCAGGATGAGATATTAACAAGGAATGGTGTGTCTGTGTGACAGGCGTAACACAGTTGCTTTTATCTAAGCAGTCCTTTTCCTGTGCTTCTGAAGTGACATGAAGGTTTCAATAACAGAGTAAGGGAGACTTTCTTTTTTAATGAAGCTGCTGTGAAAGATGCAGGAAACATGCTGAAGGTTCCTTGTTAAGAAATCAGCCATTACCAGCAGGATTGTATGTTGACTTGGAAGTACCACTGTGCATTAAGTACCACAGTGCATTTATGTTTTGTGGTGGTGGTTTTTACTGGTTTGGTTTGGTTTTGTGTGTGTGTGTTTATTTGGGTTTTTGTTTGTTTAGGTTTGTTGTTTGTTTGGTTTGGTTTTGTGTTGTTTTTTTTTTTTCCCTTTAGGTTTGTTTTTTTTAATTGAGCACTGAATTTAGAATTAGGTCAAATGCTGCAATCTGCATTTAAAAGATTTGATCAGGTTCAAATGTTACTGCTTGTGAATTATCCTGCCATGCTTGTGCATAACATGAGAAGGAAATGGATCATCCTGTTGGGGACAGAGGAATGGAGGAGGATATATAACTAAATTGCAGCCCAGTTGCCTGAAATACATGGTGGTGTTAATCACATTATGTGCATATTGAAGGCAGTAGGGGAACAGGCAAGAAGGAATGGGTAATAGCAATAAAAGAAACTTTCAGGATTACCTTAGCAGTAAAGAGGATTTTTAGCATATCCAGAGAGTTTCTGACAACTGCTGTGCATTTCTGCTTTAGCAAAGGGATAGTTCTCTTCAAGCCACCATTGCATTGTTAATAGGTAATCACAGAAGATGCCAGATAGACTTTAAATAGGTTACAGAACCGCAGTGCAGTCTGCATACTGAATTGTGGCTAAGAAGATAATGATTATTGTGATTAGTCACTTGAGCGGTAAATCACAAACGTAATACTTAAATTATACTGGCATACTTGATACAACAAATAAGCAGTTGTAGTAACAGACTTTTTATATATATATATATATTTCTGGCAGAATACAGAATTTATTAGTTTTGCAGTTATGACTGTTAGTAAATCCAAGTTTTTTTGGCCTTTACCTTGAAAGGAGAGGATGCTTGAGCATGTGTAATTGATGAGACCCTAAGAACAGGAGGACTGTTTAGTCTGTAAAGAGCAGGGTTAGTAGTTACAGGACAGGGGCCACAATTGCTTCTCAGCATTCCTGAAGAGAGGGAGAAAACACAAACTTAAGAGATTAAAAAGAGACCTTGCAACAGGCCGAGGAGTGTGCCAGCTGTGGCTTGTGTTCTGCAGGCTGGTTTTTCCACCTCCATTTAGTATGTTTTTAGTATGTTGGCATAGCCATTTTTGTTTATTCGTTTCACAGGAAGATGAAAGATCCTTTCCTTGTCTCGCTCTTTTGAAGGCCAGTTCTAAGATAACATAATTTCCCTACTTCATGGTGAGACCTTTTTAATAACTGAAAAGAAAATATTAAGAAATGCAAACCCTAAATGGTCTCAGCGTATGTCTGCCCAAAGCTGCTCTTGCCAGCCATGCCACCTAAAAAGTGTTTTAACTTCTCAGCCTTAGATACCAGTGTCGAAGCAGTGTGCGGAGTTCAGCACAGGCTGAAAACCCTGTGGGAGAATCTGGGCGAGTACCAAGATGGTGGTTTGCACTATACACTGTGTAGCTGAATTCTTATCAGTCTGAAGCAGTCTAGTAGAAGGTGCTTTTGCGTATTTCTGAATTAATATACATCAACTGTGTTGATTAAACTCTTAATCTACCAATGGTCTACATGGAAAGAAGCTGGGAGGGAGCATTTAAGCTGGTGTTCATATTGTCTTTTGAGGCAGCAGAGGTACAGTAAAGTTCTTTTGATGCCCCTTATAAACAAAGTCATTGTTAATAAAATATTTATCATATTGGCTCCTAAATATCAAAACTAGATTAGAGTCACTATATATCATATAGTATAATATATATGCTATGTATATATGTATATATCATATAGTATGATATATATATAAAATAGGATAGTCCCTGCACTGTGCATAGGCGGAAGCACAAACCAAATGAATAAACAAAGAATGATGTCAGCTAGCATTAGCATCACCATTTTGATTAAACTGCATAACCCAAACTAAAATTTTTTTTTCATAGTTGCTTGGAATGCTTGTCTAGAGTGATTTATTTTCTATGTGGAAAGCCTCTTTATTTCTTTCAAAGGAATAGCACATGAACGAAGTACGCTGAAGGGACCCAGGAAATACTAGTCTCGTGTGATAGATACGAATTGTGTGAATCTACATGATGATGAATAGAGGAAACATTTTGAAACTGAGCATTTTTATAGCATGTGTAATTAAAAAGGTAGGGACTTCAGAGCTGCACAAGGATGCTGAAATCATGAATATTACTGCATTTCAGTAGGATTTCAAATTCAAGTTCCCTTTTCCTTCATTGAAAAAATGCAAGACCAATTTTTTCCTAGCTACTGTGATTGCACTTGAAAGAATAAATACCCTCAGAGGTCACATCACTCAATTTAGAGAAGCTGTAATTAGAAATCTATTTCAGTTTTTCTCAAGAAATACCAATTAAATGGTGAGATAATGGAGCTTGCTTTATATGGAAGTACAGGGGTATTTTACAACAAAAAGGATGGTTGCTCTGTTGGGTTTGATTTTTGTTTGGGATGTGTAGTTATGAAAGAAATGTGAATGTGAGTGACAGAAGAAATTCAAAGCACTTCAGATAATAGTTCTACTGAAATACAGGAAGCCAACAGAAGAAATTTTGAGACATTAATTTTAAATGCCCTGGAGCTTTTCTCATTTGTTGTGATGGCATGAATTAATTTTGAAAAATACTACATCATACCTGGCAGTTTTCTTACTGGCTCTGGGATGAGTCTGAAATTTAGTTTTCTGCAGGCTAAAGAAATGTGCTGGTACCTGAAGTGTACACCATTTTCCTCTCAGTCTTTTGGACGTGACTAAATGTTTTGTGTGCCGCTACTAACAAATTGTTTAGCTGTGCTTTTCCTGAGGTGTGCCTTCTAAACAGTAATCTTGTAACTTGCTTAAAGAACATTACTGTTACTTTAGCAAAGTGATACTAAACCTACATAAAACTAGGTAACTACTTTTTTACCTGAACTAGAAAATTGAAACTTTCATTCCTGGGTTAAACCACAGTTCCGTATTGTAACATTGCAACTGGCTGAATGTATCTTCTTTAAGTGTGAATTCTCATGTATTGTACCAGGGCCATTCGGAGTTCAGTGCAGTGGGCTGTTTTGCCTAAAATAACTACTGCATTCGATTGGGTTTTTGGCCTACTTTTTGGTGTAAAGTTGTTATATTAATTTTCATTACTAAGGATTGGTTGATGCCGCTACAGAAGTCATCTCTAAAAATATCAGTTTGATCTGAAAGGTGGAGGATTACAGGGAAAGAATCCTCTTGATAGATTTGTTACTTAGGTCTGTTCATGAAGTGCTGTGTTGCTGTAGCAATAAGCTTCAACTTAAGAGAATGCTTCAGCATGGATTCTTAATCTTATGGAAAAGAGCTGCTTGGAAATTTTAAAAACAAGAGACATCTCCTTGAAGTAAGGTTTAGGAATACCCTTAAACCACCTGAGCCATTTTGCTTTGAATGTCAGCCTTTATATGTGAGTCTGGCAGACTGCTACACTGTCTGAGTGGTGATGACATCTACTTTCCTGTTTGTTGCTTTGTTGTGTTTCTAACTGAATGCCTCTCTCTTTTTAATTTCTGTGGCAGCATCCCTTGCTCCTCCTCCCCCCTCCATCCTACAGGTAACTCCACAGTTACCACTAATGGGATTTGTGGCCAGAGTTCAAGAAAACAGTAAGTTTGCTGCTTCCTTGTGCTATGATTTATTACTGGACATGACTTCTGTTTTGAGTGGATGAAGGATTTGTCTGTATATAGCCAGAATTCTGATTGCTGTACTGCCTCTGCAAGTTCATCTAAAATTTGAAGGGAAGGAAAAGGAAATAATTTTCTTGGAGAAACCTGATCCTTCCTTTTCTGAATTTTATTGTCTCTGGTGTATTTCCACAAGTTCTAACTATTGGTCCCAGTGCAACTACTTGGGATAGAGAGTATTTCTTCAACCTGCTACCATGGTTCTAGAGACATTTTCATGGTTATACTACTGTTTATTTTCAGTTTCAGATACTCCTCCCCCACCACCGCCTGTGGATGAGCCAGTGTTTGATGAATCTCCACCTCCACCACCACCTCCAGAGGATTATGAGGAGGAGGAAGCAGCAGTGGTGGAGTACAGTGATCCATATGCTGAGGAGGACCCTCCTTGGGCACCAAGGACCTACTTAGAAAAGGGTATGTTTAGAGCTAGTAGAGATGATAGTATCGTGTTTGCAGCAATAATTTTGCATAACCACCTGCCATCCTGCTTTGGACATGGAGTCTGCCTAAATACCTTTGTAGTATTGTGGTGAAGGTGCTCCTCCAAATAGTAATTTAAAGAACAGAAGTTAAGCTACTCTGCTAAGTCTGACTGATTCTTTCACCCCTTTCTCCACAAAAGAAAGATACTGAATAGCTGGCTAATTACGTATTTTTTAAATGCTCTGTCATCTATTTAAGACTCACCTTTCAGTAATCTGCTTAATCCTGATAATCAAATTCGTATGAGGTCAAAAATGAATGAATCAGTGCTGCAGTTGCACTTGGAACTATATGTGTGTATCTGGAGAGTTGCTGCAGTGTGTGTTTAGGGCTCTGTGAGATGCAATGCTGCATCAATGTGGGACTATGCTAAGCTAAAAAGTGCTGGGTGTGCATAGGACTGAGGTATTGCTGCAGGGCTGCATCTAGATGTCTTCCAGTTCTGAAGCAGGTGTGTGGGAACATGCTGGAGTAAAACTCAGGTAAAATAAACTCAATAGGTAAATGGCTTAGAGGTGCTTGAATATGAAAAAGTCTACAGCCTGGTGTTCTCCTGTGAAACAGGGTCATGTACCTCTTAGGAAAAGGTGATAGAAAATCTGATATTGCAAAGCAACTAGGTGTCTCAGTGGAATGACTGTTAAAAACATTCAGTTTGCGTAAGGGAAAATAATTCAAGAATGCCAGTGCAGGACTTGACAGGAGGGAGGGGAAAAAGAGATGGAAGAGGTGCTTTCTGTCAACTCCAGCCCAAAGGAAATATTACTATTCCTGAGGGAGATGGAGAAATATGTGGAAGGTTTTTTGTTATTCTCCCACCCTCTGTTTAGCTGGTGTGTTTAGTGCAGGGAGTACCCAAGCTCGGCTGAGAACAAGCTGAGACCATTTGTGAGACGCTTTATCTGTTGACCTCTCCACACCCTTGATTGAAAGCAAGTGTCACTATCTCTGTTATGTTTCTGTTATTCCCGCTGTCTGGCCCTTAGCAAATCCTCAGTGGCATTTCAGCTAGGAGCAAAACAGAAAAAAGAGGACCCTGATGTGCATTGGTTGTTTATAGCAAATAATGCAAAGGGGGGTGTTTGTGTGTGTGTCTGTGTGGAAGAGAGGCCACAAAATCATGTGGCATGTGGCCTGGGAAAAACAACTTTCTGTTTGAAGAAATAATGACATGGGATAGCAAACCGTAATGGGAGTCTTTAAGGATAAGCTGGAGACAGGCTTTTAGTCAAAACAGATTTCTGCAGAAAAGCATAAGTATAGGAAACCAGACTTTCTGTCATATTTTGCCTATGCAAAAACATAATTTTGATCAATATTTTGAAAACTAGATGACTGAAATATCTAAAAGGTTGCTGTGTTCTGAGAAATACTCATAAAACTAATAACAACTTCTTTATACATTGTAAAATGTTTACAGTGTATGAAGAAATTAAATAATAGTTTTACAGTCCCAGAAAAAATGGGGAACTGACATAAGCATAGATTCTGTTCTAGTTACATTAATAGCTTTTCTTCCCTTCAGCCCACATCTTGAGATTCGTCTGCTTTGCTGGAGATGGGAGAACAGTGCTTGGCTGTGATTTTTTTTTTCTTTTTTTTTTTTTGGTTGTAACAGATAAACTTGAAAGTTATTGAAAAGTCCCATGCTGAAAGAGGACTTTCATATTGTCCTGGTTCAGCAGTAGCAGTCATTTTTTCTTCTCCTTAGTAGCTGGTGCAGTGCTGTGTTTTTGACTTTCGGCCTGGGAATAGTGCTGATAACACCGATGTTTTTAGTTACTGCTCAAATGTTTAGTCTGCCCAAGGACTTTGTGAGTCTCATGCTCTGCCAGGGAGGAGGGGAAGCCAGGAGGAAGCAGAGACAGGACACCTGACCCAAACTGACCAAAGAGGTATTCCATACCACAGCACATCATGCCCAGGATGTAAACTGGGGGCAGTTACCCGGAAGGGCTAGTTCACTGCTGGGTTGGGCTGGGTATCAGTCTGTGGGTGGTGAGCAGTTGTATTCTCTTCCCTTGTTATTTCCCTCATTACCATTATTATTGGTGGTAGCAGCAGTGTTTTGTGTTATACCTTAGTTACTGGACTGTTCTTATCTCAGCCCATGGGAGTTACATTCTTTTCATTCTCTTCCCCAGCCCTCCAGGAGCTGGAGAAGGAAAGGGGGGGCAGTGAGTGAACGAGCTGCGTGGCTGAGCTTAAACCATGACACATACCCAAAGAATGTCTATACTTACGCTGCTGTGGAATAATAATGCATTATCTTCTGCAAATTAATTATTCCTATGGCAGCCCCTGAAGTTCCAGTAAACAGTATTCTGTGCCACATGATTCAAAGTGGACAAAACTGGTGGAAATGGCTGGTCAGACACTATTACCCCCAGTAAGTAGAGTAGCAATTCCTAGGATTTGTGCTTATTCTTTTGGTATGGCTGCTCACTTAAATTTAAGTTCATATGGAAGTGTTTCTAATGGGATTAGTGCAGATAACCTTTGCAGAAGCGAGAAGGCAGAAGCTGGGACACTAAGGAGGTGTCAAATCCAGGGGGTTGCTATCGAGATGGGGTTCAGTGTGATCCTGTTCTGTAAATGGGTCATGTGTTGTGGGAGGTGTATTTAACATTAAGACATGCTTTAACCTACAGTTAAGGAAGAAGTGAATAGCAGATCTATTTTGAACAGATGGAGAAACTCTTAGGTAGGATACAGTTACTGGGGACATTGAACTTGAGGGCACTAACACATGGCTATAATAGCAACAGCCAACCTGCAGTGTCCAGGGAAACATACTGCAGTTTTCCATTGAGCTCTCTGTCTGGGTCTGTGGTATGAAGAGGTAAGAAAATGTCCCAGCTTTGCAAATCAAAAACCAAAAAATCAAAACAGGTATCCAGAAGAAAAAAATGCCTTCACGCCAAATAGAGAAGGTGTGTGGTCACATATATCAGGTTTCTGTTGGATTATCAGTCTGGGCTATGTTAATGGTCAGTTTGATGTGAATGGGGTTCAGCCGAACTGTGTAATTGCTGAAGGACCAAAGATCACTGATTGGAAGAACATACACCTAAAGGAGTAATTCTGGTTTCCATATGTACATTGAAACATGTTAAGATAGAAACTACCCGAGTTTCTCTCTGAACATGCTTCAGATAGAAAAGAGGTCCTGGCTCAGTCTCGCAGGAAAGGGTGCCACCTCCTGAGTCAGTATTGCTGCTTCGTGTCTCATCTGGAGCCTTTATTGCAGTACTGGCCTGGGCTCCTGGTAACTCAATGGTGTAAAAACAAAACCAGGCTTCGGGTAATTTTATAAGAGGCTTAACAAGAAGCAAATTTTAATAACGAAATTAGGAAAGAGTTTTTCGTACTTGTGATCATGAAATAGTGAGACCATTCAGTATGAGAAGGGACTAGAGTACACTCAAACATGAGAAAGAAAGGAAGTGTAAGTTACCACGATCCTTGGATTATTATTATCAAAAGACTTAAGAACAGCACAGTGACTGTAGGAAGAAGTGTTTTTAAATGAGAATATAGTTCATAGAAGGCAGTTAAAAAGGAATTTTGGAGGACTTTAATTGTATCTTGTGTTTGTGCAGTGACTTCTGGTTCTCAAGCTGAAATTTTATTAATTTCTCCTTTAGTGTTTTGTTTCCTTAGAATGGTATGTCTAAAACTAGTTAGAATGAGGGACTGCACAAGGGTGCATAAGCATAGAACTAGCAACATGTGTTTTTCAAATATGCTCTGGTCAAATGATACAAATCTCCTGTTTGGGAGATCTGATACAAAATATAAAATCTCTATAGATACTCTGAGTCTCCACTGGCATTGATTTGGATGTTCTACTTGATAATCTTTTCAGGATCCAGGTTTCCCTAGTAAATATTTGTATTGATTCCTTTGGCCCCTCAAAAGGAAATGACCTCTTTTCTTTTGAACAACATGATGAGTTTAATAGGACTCTTGGAAACTGTGCTCATGAACACATGCTGTTAATTTTTTCTCCTTGCTTTTGTTCAGAGTATCTTCCCTTCTATCCTCAGTATGAGATTTTAGGATCTCTGTCCAACATCCATTTTCTTTCAGTGACAGCATTGCGTGTTTCATTGCCAAGTGCTCAAAGCAGTGACTGATGCTATTTGTTTAAAGTATTCAGAGTCCAGCATAGCTGATTTTCTGTATGGAACACATAATAATTGGTAGGACTAAGAATGGAAAAACATACTGAGTTGATGTCTCTTTCCTGCCATTTCAGGGCAATGACCTCTTTAATATTTGCCAGTGCTTTGTCCAATTTCTTTGACTTTACTGACAGCTTTTGTGCCTTCAGTAAAATATTCTGCAGCTGTAAGAAAATTGTCCTGTGATATAGTAGGCATACATTTTGTTTCAGAGAATTACCTTACTTCCTAGTTCCTAAAACTGGGAGCCACCTTGGCACCGTATACTGTGGGAGTGACTTCTAGCTACTGGGACTGCACCTTCGCATTTTACAGATTTAAATGTGGCATTATCTAAGGTAGATGGAAGTCTGAGACATTAGCCTTGGCTCACACATACTGTGATCTGAAAAGAGCTCTTGCTGCTCTTCCTCTTCCATGTTTTCCTGCTGATTAGTAGTTGTGCAGGGATCTGATTTAGCGCATATATCTAATACATGAACTCTGAAATAGCAGTCATAGCCATGGGGACTTACAGCCACCTCCTTGTATCATTCCTCACCAAAAGCTTTTTGTGTATTTGTAAACTTCTCCTCTGATGGGTCTGGGAATAGTAAAAATAGAAGAATTACAGTGGTCCTGACTCATGTGCTTCAAAGCATGAGCTCTTATAAAAGGGGCTGGAGGAAGCTGATGCTCTCAGCAGGTTATTCTGCACACACAGAGGTGAGGCAGTGCAGCTCTCTGAGGTTGCCTTGAATGTGGGGAACTTTGTATGAGGCAGGTTGATTTTTTTTGTTTGTTTGTTTTTTTTTTCTTCTTTTTTCCTTCTTCTCCCTGTACCTCTCCTAACAGTCACACTCTGTTCTTTCCTAGTGGTGGCAATCTATGACTACACAAAGGACAAAGAAGATGAGCTATCATTTCAAGAAGGTGCCATTATTTATGTTATCAAGAAAAATGACGACGGCTGGTATGAAGGGGTCATGAATGGAGTGACCGGGCTCTTCCCAGGGAACTATGTGGAGTCAATCATGCATTACTCGGAGTGAAGACTAGAGGACAGAACACTGCATCTCCTGCTGCAGGAGCTGTCAGGGCTTCCCAGGTCTCCACCAGCCTCTGGGGCCCCATCCAATCTAACTGAATGAAGGATAACTGTAACAACCACTCTTCCCCCTTTCTTCCCATCCTCCCCCATTATAAACCAATAGCGATTTGAGTTGTTTGAACAAATGGCTCTTTCAGCTGCCAGCAGAGGCTATCCTGGCCCATCTGATGCTGAATTAAGCTGACACATTCAGATGTAAAACTCGTTGAGTAGCTGATACTTCACTCAATTACTGACTTCTTCTGACAGGCTTGGGATATGTCTTGGAATCCTGTGTGTCCTTGTGGTACTACCCTTGGCAGCAGTGCCTGGCGCTTGGGATGTCCTGGATGTTTGTGGTGAAGGTTTACCAGCCAGTGGACAGCCCTCCTGTTCTATACTATGCTCCCATGCAGCTGGAAGAAATCATGTGCTAGCAAACTGGAATTTTACATAGAGGCGTTCCTATAACTGACTTCCAGATAGCTGGTTACATCTTTAGCATAAACCCATCTGCAGCTGCTCTGCACATGTAGGCTGACACAGGGGCACACAGAGCTGGCTTTCATTTACTCACCTTTCAGTTTAGACAACTAAAATGGCTGCAGCCCAGAGGACCCCCACCCCCATTTCCTCATCTTTTGAATGCCACCAGTTCGTTTTGTGTTCTGCACTGATGTAAGTGTGCTCCTCTCCACAGTGAGCTACTTGCCACGGGCGCTGCTGGTTTAAACAGAACTCACAGATGCTGTTGACGGTGAATGCAAAACAAAGTTTACAGGTTCTCCTGGGGTCTGAGGATAAACTCTAGGGGCTGTGATCTAAGGCTCAAGTCTACTCGCACCTCCTTGCACTAGTGAAACTTACCCCCGACTTTAGTCTTATGCACAATATAATCTTAAAAATCCAATCAGGTATTGTAAATTGGCTATTTTGTACTTGATTAGATTTGCATATGTACTGTGAGAGCCCTGTGTAGAGGCAGGACAAACGGCAATTGTCGTCTTCATGTCTGTTGCCAAAATCTCTTCAGTGGAAGCAAAAAGGGCTGTTGTGTGTACTGGTTTCCCATGGAAATCCAAGCAGTAACTGGTAGTAGTCCTAGCTCTTCCCCCAGCCCTCTCCATTGTCTGTTATAAAGAAATAGGTATTCTGAGCTGACTGCTGGATCTGGGTGGAGTTATTACCAAGTAAAGACTCTGTAGCCCCTTGTGTTGCTAGTTTGCTTTTTAATCTAGTCTCAGTTAAAAATGCTGCTCAGTGATTCTGCCCAGCAGATCAGTGTAAAGTGATGGCTGCACTAGTCTGCCCTTGGTCAGGAAGGACCAAATGTTATCTTTGGGTAAATGTCATGCATTAACAGAGTGAGCTGGGTAAATCTCATTGCAGTCCTGTTAGCCTACAAATAGAGCTGATGCCTGCATTGCCAGTCTCCTGGGCCAGGGCATCTTCCCTAGCAACTTCTGTCACCTGGCCGAGTTCCAGCTGGTACCAGCAGTAGGTCCCCAAAGGTGTGACAGTGCTGCAGCTGTCTTCTGAGGCCTGTGTGTAGAACAGAGCAGTGCACAAGAGAGCATCGAGGCTGGGTTTGTGACGGTTTTGGCAAGGATAGAGGTAATTGACCCAGTGCCCTTGTTAGGTGATCAGTGCAGTATCAGGGTGGAGGTATAGGTTTGGTGCATTCCTGGGCGGGGAGGCACTGTAGCTGCTTGAGGAAGAAAGAGGAAACAAACGTGAGGTGTGTTTGTATGGATGGACATGGATGAATGTGATCACCCCTGTGAGCTTGTGGAAGAGTATGTTAACTCCTGTGACAGTGCATACGGAACTAGTTTGGTTGAAGCCTACAGCAGGTACAAGTTTGAAGAAACTGGTACAAAGATAGAGGTTACTTTCTCCCCCTATCAATCCACTACCTGCTTCTCTGAAAACCTGTGACTTGCAGCAAGACTAGCAGAAGCAGCTGTGGTTAATTTCCTCACCCCATTGTTTCTCTGGGAGCAAGCCTGGAAACACAGGTTGTCAGTCACTGGAATGACTGTTTCTAGTGTCATAGGACAGACCTACACATTTTGCACAGGGAGGCAGTGCTCTCGGCCCAGGTGGTGGAACAGCAGTATTTCACAAGCCTTTGGTGCTCACAGGGTGGCTGTTTTCCAGGACTATCAATGCTTTCCTCCTTTCTCTTGCCCTGGGTATGTCTGTGGTAAAGACTTGAGCATGGTGCTCAATTGCATCAAGTTAGGGCAGCTTAGAGAGTTACTGAATGAGAGCTGAACCTCTCTCCCTGTGCACACATGCTGCACGTGGGAGGTCATGCATTGTTGAAATGTGTTTTTAACTAGGTCTGTGTAAGAAAGAGCATGTGCTTGAACGCTTCTGCTGGGTGGGTGGGTATAGTGTGTACCTCCTCTGTGTGTGGCACACACCAGTGTCCTTGTTCTTCAGTCAGGCAGTTCATCTTGCAAGTTTTCTGTGTTGTGAGAGCAGAGCAGTGTGAACTCTGGGAAGTGCTGAGCCCCTGCCAGAGCACAGCAGGGAAGATGAAGCTGCAAAACCTTGAGAGTGGAATGTGTGAAGCTCCTTAAGGAACTGGCCTTGGTCTGAGGGCCCAGGGGTTAGTCAGGTCCCTGCTGATAGCAAGTGGGATTGTTTATGCTGCAAGAATTGCTGTGGATGGAATTTTTGGGTCACCTCCTGCTGGTTTTATGCTTTATTATGCAGTACTAATGTAAAGAAATTTGTTGAAGTTTATGCATAGTTTTTATTTTGTACAGGTTTTAATTCTGTGGCTTGTTTGGGGATGATGTGATGTAATGGTCTTAGATCAGGCCAAGGTAAACAGGCTGTGTATATTACTGTTACATAGATTGCATGCTAGTAAAGTCAGTACGAGTCATGTTTCCAGTTTTGTCCCTTGTACTTCTCCTTCTCTGAAACCTTCTTTGCCCCACTCCTTTTTATTTGAGGTGCTTACTTTAAAAAGGGGGTGGAGAAGGAAGAGGGGAACACCTCAGTATTTCAGATAGGTGCACATCTCTTCACTGAGTTCTGCTGCCACAGCTGAATGTGTTCAGTATCACAGGCTGTTGATCAGCAGTGTGTATGCATGAGAGGTGGGGGAAGGAGACACTCCAGAATAGCCCAAAGAAAGCTGTATGGCCAAAATGAGTATGTTTCTCCCTTTGAGAGAGCTGCCTTAGCCCAGGCAGCTATTTTTATTATGCACAGAACTCAGTCAGCATCCTCTAGTGGTCAGTCTTGCCTTGGTTTGCTGTATTCAAGATTCTTTCCTTGCTAGGGCCAGCGCTATTTACAGCTGCCTCACTGCCATGTGCCTGTGCTAGAAGAGGTCCTACAAGTCTGACCCTGTCTAGTGCTGAAGCAGGTTATGTTGGTGCCTTCTTTCCAGTGTCAGAGACATGGCTGAGGTGGCATGTGTTGCACCACATTGTTTTGGGTGGTGGTTTTTTTTAATCTTTCTGTGATAGCTTCATGTTGTTTCTCTTACTGATGCAGCAGAGGCCTGAGAGGAGCAGAACAGGCAAGCAGCAAATTTTATGCTTGAGCATCCTGATGGTGTGCCCATGCCCATGGACTGGAGTAGGCACCAGAGCTGAAGCTATGCCTGAAGACTTGCTGGCCTGACTGGTGAGAATGAAGAGCCATTGTTCTCACTGGAGGACAAGAGGTGCAGCATGGCCCCAAGGTAGCTGGCAGAGCAGGGTAGTGTTACCAGGAGGCTTACCACGTTCCTGTGACTCAGGTTGTCTTTGTGGTTAGTTGAGTTGGATGTTCCTGAATGTGGCTGGAAATTGCTGCTGGTTTGAACCACAGCTGCCCACAGTGCCAGTGGTCTGTGGCAGTGTGGCTTATCAGTGGATGCCAGGAAGCCTTAGATTCAGCTAGTTCTTGCTAAGCTCACAGCTCCTGAGCATTTACGTGCTGTGCTGCTGTGGGTTCGTGGTGACAGCCAAAGGTGACATTTGCAGTAATGCAGTGTCTGAAAAGTGGTACTTTTATCTAGGGTGTTTCAGTTGATCATGAAAAGCGAAGCTGCAGCAGGACACTTCTGGCAGAGGGTAGGCTGCCTGCCTGGTGTGTGTGTACATATTGTGGGAATGAGCTTCTCTGCTAGAAATGAGCTCTTTTAGTTACGTTGCTGGGCTTTAGGCATAAATCAAAAGCAAAACTTTAATTTCCTTTCCAGAAAGGATGTGACTTCATGTGGATTAGCAAACTGGGAGCATTTACAGGGCTTCTGCTCCCAGGGGTGGAGCAGGACATCATGTGAAACAGGTGCCATTTGTATTGTCTTGCAGGGGAACTTGTTGGAAGCTGCTAGAGGATGCTGTTGGAAAGACCGTAGTGCTGTGACTTCTACTGGAAGCAGTACTTGCATTTAGAGTATAAAGTCACTTGTTGAGCACTGCAGCATTTCAGGAAGCATTACAAACCCCATGCAGAGACTTCCAATTCCTATGTTGACAACAGTGGCAGTGAGAAAAGTACAGCACTGCTGCATTCGCTAAAGCAAGTATTTACAACACTGATCTCTAGAGACCATGGTAGTGTAAACTGAGCACTGGCAGGCAGATAAAGAGCTATGGCTCATAGGGCATCACTTTCAAGAATTTGCTGTGCTTAACAGGTACATTCACCTTTTCCACCTTTTGGCATCTCGAGTATTTGGCACTGCCACAGTTTGTGGGTAAACTGGTACTACCCAGAAGTCAGAATGGTGCATGAACGGAACGGTGTGTAGTTGTTTTTCTTAATTTCCCCAATAGCTGAAGTCAGTGTGTAGTAACAGTCCTACTGATCTACTTTTGATTTTGAAACTGCAGGAATAGTGGGACACCCACTTCATGTCCATGGGACGGATGCTGAAAGCTAGATGCAGCCAAGGTTTGCCAACTGCTGTTACAAAGAATAATTCACAGACCATGGCGTTTCATTCAGAAAAACACCCATGTGTTTTGTGCAATGTCCTGCCCACGCAGGAAGTGTTTTTTTTCCTTTGGTACGCTAAACATACAAATTTTATTAGGACCTTTGCTTATTACAAGATGTGTTACAAAAAGGTCAGCAGCAGCCTGTTGTCCAGAGGTAAGCTTACACCCAGCATCCTGCTGAACACCAGCGTGGGGACAGCTGAAATGTGTGCAGTACATTTGTTCGGTTTCTCTTAAACCCACAGAAGAATCCAACCACTACTGACTGATGAGGAAGAACTGTGTACAAATTCATTTCCATTACAGCGCCTTGGTAAAGTGCTGACATGTCTGAGATTTTTTTTGTAAAGAACAAGTGCTTCTTTTCACATTTGAAAAAGTGTCTTTTGCAACTTGCATGGACAAGTAGTTTCTATGAATTCTCTGGAAATGTCAGTGTCTAACATGGATTTTGTCCATGCACTTTTTTTCTGAAAGCAGATAACCCCCCCATGCCCCCTCTTTGGTTTGCAGTCAGAGAAGCACGCTGTGCTTTTGCTTTTGGCACTGCTGATGCAGTGTCTGAGTGCAGAGCCCACTGTAAATGACCAAGTCCGCAGGACTCTGGGGAGCTGTATGCCACCAGTAATGTTTTATTGTGTGTGCCATTTGAACCACCTTCCAGTGAGTGAAAAACCCAATTTTTAAATTTTTTTAATTGTACTTGGAATTAACTGTTGCCGTGTACTAAACCCTCTTGTTACGAGCCCTAAATAAAAAGAACAAAGCACACACTGTGTTCTGTGAGCGTGCCACTGCCGAGTCACAATCCTTGTCTTTAGCTACAGGCTTTTCAACACAACAAGGCCAGAGACAGTTGCCTGTATATGCAGAAGCCCTATCCCAGGGGAGCTACAAGCGCAGCACTTACTTCCCCCAGCAAAGGTATGAGCACTGGCATCGAGCCTGCTGCCTTCAGCAGCTCCTCCCTCCACTTCTGTATGACTACTCATTTCCTGTCATCACCACTAATGTAACACCTCCAATCCCTGGTGTAAAAGCTGATGAGTGATGCAGGGCCAGCATGCAAGTGTGCCCCAGCAGGAGGTGAACAGAGCCAAATCCCCTACAGTGGACCCCAGAGAGGGGCTGCAGCAGCACTTACCAGCCATCAGCTGTCCTTGCATGAGCAGAGCATGAACTCTCTCATGAGAGAGAACAAGATCAAGAACAGGACTCTGCACGCCTGAGGGAGGAGGCAGATGGAAAAGGTGAGCCTTCAGACCAGGTCCTCTTTAGACCTGTGCCTGGTGTGCATCATCTTACTGGTACAGCCAGCTCTTGCCCATGGGAAAGAGCTATGCAAAGGAACAATAAAAAGCAATTTTATTGAGAGTGAGCATATAAGCTGGTGACCTGCAGGCCATCAGGTACCTAATCCCTACAGAGGGGAACCACTGATGCCCTAAAAACACAGTATGGGTTCTGCACTCATGAAAAAGGAAAATGGCAAAACAGAGGATTAAACCAGATTATTAAATTTAACTACATCTTTATTGGATTGTGCATATTCCATTATAATGATCTATATTGGGTACTCTATAATGAAGTATTTCTTTTGTCCTCTCCCATGCTTAAAAAAGTATATTTATACATATATTTATATATATTTATAATATGGCAAAGCTCCCCCCAACCTGAAGCTATCAGTCTAAAAGAGCTTTGATTTTTCTTTTTGGAAAGGGAAGAAGAGGGGAGGCAATCCCACTGAAAGATAAAATGTGCAATTTTCTTTTTAAAGCAGTAAACATGAATGTATTTACAGCACTCAGCACAAGTCTGCTGCACAGACAAATCATCATTGCAATGACACTTTTTCTTACATTTGCATCCCCCATATTATACAGAACATCACCAGCAGCTGCTAATAGTGTGATCCATAAACCAAGCTGCTGCTCCAGTTAATTTTGGGTCCACCGCAGTCCACTAGAAAGGAGACCTAAGATCTGCCATTACAACTTGTGACAAAGCATTCAGTTTTCCTTTTAGAAGTACAAGCTTTATAGTGCTGCACCAAATCAGCAGCAGAGAGCCTTGGGCACAGGTTTGTTTGCTAAATTTAACTTCCCTTTGCCCCTGCCTGGCAGGTGGGTACCCACTTGCCAGTGCTAGTTAAAGGCAAGAGATACGCAACAGCCAACAGTGGCATCCCTCTTCTCCTGCCGAACAGCAGCTCTTGAGTCCTGGCAGAGGCTGGTGCAAGCACATCTGAGTACCTGGAATTTAGCTTTGAATGCATCTTTGGCATCTTGGGAAAGGTGGGAACAGCTGGTTCAATTCCCAAGTCTCTTAAAATACATATCACCTTTGAGCATTTAAATGAGGGGGTATGCATTCCAAAATCTGTTACTGAAGCTCCTTCTCACTCACTTCCCTCACTAAGTCCCTGCCACAAGGGATGGTGCATGTAGCACTAGTTCCTGTTCCTCTAATTAATTTCTCTCTCTAGCTCTCTTCACCACAGATGGTACATGTTTCTGATGACCAGAGAGCTCCTACTCAACACCTTAAGAGCACCAAATAGCCATCAAATGCAAATGCATCAAGTGCAAATCGATTACTTTACATTGTTAGGGATACACACGTGTTGTCACCCCGTTTGCAGTTTAGTGTTTTAAACTTTTCAAGATTAGACAGCCTGTGACTCACTGGATCACAGAGATCAGAGTGCACTGACCCCTGCAATGTAACACTTGTTTTGTCAGTCTTCACGGGCATTTTCTTAATTGAAGAAGAAAAGTAATTCAGAAAGAAAAATTACTCCATTTTAGACAAACTTACTATTCCAACATACAAGCTTAAAACCCACCAGCACATTACAGAAACATCTAAGAGAAACTAACCCTTGTAGTGTTAAATCCTCGGGTTTGGAGTCTGTCCTGATTGATTGTGCGAGGGAATGCAAAGCCAGGAGCCACAACTGGGCTGTGGGAAAACATCTCCCTCAAAGACGATTCCCATCACGTCCAAACGAGGAGTGCTGTTTGAACAAGTACATAACCTACACCTTAACAGTGAAAAAAGGAAGAAACAAAACAAACTCTCATGTTCTGGCTGCATCATCACTACCTTCTGTCAGGAATTTATACTGCTTTCCTGGAGTACAACTTGATTTCAACATGATTCTGTATTTGACATGGTAACTCCCAGTAAGACCCATATAATTTTATTTTGAGTAAGAAACAAATTTACCTGCAATGATACCACTGAAGTAAAACATTTTAGTTCTATGCAGTATTCTGTCACAACCAGATTTCTCTTTTGCCCTTCTGTTGCTGAAATGGTACTTTTGGTTCCTTTAAGCTGTGGAAAAAGTAATTTTAACTGGGAGGAAAACTGGCCGCAGTCTCTGAGCTGATTTATCTGGTTGCTTAAGGGCACAGAAAGAAGAAATAAAACATTTCAATGTGCAAGTCCAGAACAGTAAATCTTAAAATGCACTTGTTGAAAAAACTGCTCCCTCTCCCATCAGACCTGAAGCCAAAGTGATCCAGGTACCTTTGCTTTGTTTCCCTGATGTGTCAGTCAGCCACTGTTGCCCTGCAGGAAACTGTTCAGGAGAGGAGCTCTTTGGCTTTGAGGTCATGCACCAAGCTGAGCAAGCAGCGGTGGTCTGCCGCAGGAGCAGAGCAGGAACTTTCCTCTTCCACAGAAAATAGCAGATTATTTTATTGTGCGACTTGTGCCTAATCTCCTCCCTCAGCCACAGGTTTTGAAAGACTAAACAGAACCCCAGCACATCCACCTCAAACATGGTAGCTGGGGTTTGTTCAGAACCAGACTTCTTTGGGGTTTGTTAACTAGCTTCTCCTATAAGCTTAGTGCTGTTGCAAGAGCCTTGTTTTCCCTTCCAAAGCAACTCCCCGAGACCTGAAGTACAGTCAAAAGCGTCTGAGAAGACTGGCTCCCTGCTTTGTACACCTGCGCTGCAGGCACAGAAACCTGCCAGAACAGGAGGCACCCTGCTGCATGGCAGAGAGGAAATGAGCACCAAATCTGTTCCGGATTAATGAACACAGCTGTATGCTCTCAGCTGCCCCTGTGGCAGCAGGGCTTTCCCCAACACCCCGACTTTAACAAGTGTCGGAGGGGCATATGCTTCATCATTTAACACAACAACAGCTATACACTCCCAGTATTTTAGGATCAAAGCATCTGCTACCTTTATGTCCAGAGTATGAAAGCTCAGCTCTCACATGCTCATCTTAACCGTGCCAAAAGGAAGCAGAAAGCTTCTTGCAGTGGGTGCGAGATCTGCTCCCTCAGTTTTCTGATTTAAATAAATATAACGGTGCAATTATGAGACCAGTGCACACAGGGGAAAATAACTTACTTGCAAATAAGGCATAAATATTTACTGTCACAAAAGCAGTAAACACACTAGGAAAGCAAGTTACAATGAGGGGTCTCATAAGCTGAAAAGGCAGCCAGGTGCCAAAATTTCAGTGCCTAGCTGAGAGCACTGTATTTTTGTATCATTACTGGCTTAGGAAGCAAGATGCAACAAGAAGCAATACAGGGTGCCACCTTTGCTGATGCTTGTTATTTTTCCTGCAAACTTAAGAAAGAGTTAAACTTCTGTCTCCCAGCAAGCTGTGCAGCAGCCTGCAGTAGTAGCATGGATTCACTGTCTAGAGAGAGATACTGGGTTATGAACTTGGGCACAGGAAAATGAGAACAAAGCTCAAATGCCTTTGAAGAAATTGCACTTGAAACATTGCTCTGCCGAGTCCAAAGCCCAGAGGTGCCCACACTGAATGAACAAAAGCAAAAGGGCTGGAACTAACACACACCAGTGGAGCTGTCCTGGGGGAAAAGAAAAACAGATGGTGCAAGCAGGATTCCCTGGCTGCTCTCATCCGGAAGCACGCTGCACCAGCCAGGGTGGCCCTTGCCAGGGAGCCAGAGAACGTGGTCACTCACCTACCCTGGGTAACAGCTGGGGAGTTTTGGGTCCAGCTCTGCACCTCTGCCTCCACGGGTGGGTGTGAGCCCTGGAGCTGTGTACAGCACAAAACAGCAGGAGGACCAGTGTTGAAAATTACAGCACCATCAACTGCAGTGTAGCTCAGCAACCTTCCTGTGGAGCTGCTCGCCAGCTACACTGAGCGTGCTTAGATCAACAATGCAAATGCTTTTAAGGACACTTTATAAGCACAAAAATAGTAGAAACAAAACTTTTTGAACAATTTGAAAGATACAAAAAAGTGCCTTTCCATAGCAGTGCTTAAAAAATGCACACAATGCTATATACTCTTATTGCTCAAAAAAACTAGTCTGAAATAGTAAAATGATTTCCAGAGGTGCTGAACCAGATTTGTAAAAAATCATGAGGCATCAGCAGAAACAGCACCATTCATTTATCTCTTTTCAAGATGCACTTATTTAAAAGTCTATAGTTATAGCTGGGTCATTTTTTACCCTCTGATTAGCAAAGCTTTTTCCTATTCATAAAGTATTAATTCACAAAGACATTATTTTACTATTTGGAGTTTAAAAAAAACCACTCTATTAAAACAAAAAAAAAAGGCATGAGGGATGCTGTCACATTATTTCTTAAGTCTATCAGCCTGAATTACTCTAATGAGAGAGAAGTTTACATCTTTTGTGCACACTTGAGGATACTGTCAAGTCAAGCTATTTCCATTGTTTCAATCTCTGGGGGAAAGAAAACACTTAAAACCCGTTTTTGGAGAAAAAGTAAACCAGCAGAGAAATCATTTGCCATCTGA